TGAGATCAAGATAACAAAACTTCACAACAGTATGCCTCTTTACATTGTATGACAGAATACACACCACATTGGAACTTAAAGATCCCTGATCTTTAGAAGAATTAAGAGGTAGAAGACTTTACCTGGAAGATTCTATAGTGAAGCTAAGTTTGAGTGGGTGTGCCTTGAGGATCAATCCATCAAGCAAATGGCTACATATCTGTCACTAGGTAGCAGTATTCTGAGAGAGCTGCATAAGGCAAAGATTTTAAACTTTTTATATTTTGGAAGTGAAACAAACCCAACCAATTATTTAAAAACTGAAAGTCAAAGATCACAGGTAAACAGAGTACTAACTTGCAGAAATGTGGACTATCCGAAAGATCAAAGTGGAGCTTTGAACACTGTTATCTATGAGATCAATCAAAAGCACACCATTGACACTTTAGAGGAAGACTTGTTTGTAAGAAGTGCTTTCAGCGAACAGCTGAGGGAATTAAATCCCCTCAGACAAACTTATATGGAAAACAGCACAAGAAAAAAAAACAAAACAAAAACCACAATTTCAAGATACTTCTTGAATTCTAAAATAAATTAGCAATTAAAAAGGCATACCCTGCTTCATTTAAAAAAATGTATCTAATGTAACAAACACCAACAGTGAATTGCATTAAAACAAGAGGCCAACGGTCTTTTAAAGCTTCAGGAAGCTGCGTCAGGCACCTTTCCCCCTTATACATTCCACTTCTATACACTAGAAATCTCCAACAGGACCCCATTCCTGTTTTAGATAACATTCTCCAGGAACACACGCATCCCTGTAAAATTGCTTCTTATGCACTTATAAGTTGTTAGATACACTTATAAAGTCTACCAAATTGCAATATAAAAAATTTTGACAATTCTGAGTATCTTCATTGGATGAATCAATTCAGAATTTAGAAACTACTAACTCATTCAGAGTTATTAAAAGGAATCAACTACTGGAGACACTGTGGTGTATGTCCAGTGACCCTCCGCAAGGCTTTCCACATTACCTAAAATAGGATGCTTTCTTCTATAAGTTAAAGCCGCTGGGTGCTGGTTTACAATAGAATCCAGTCTTCAGGCCAGCATCAGCAGTGGCCCAAGCCACCTATTCCGTCACCCTAGTAGGAAGAGGGCATGCCACTAGTGTAGCCACACATCTGTAAACTTGCACACTAATTTTAATCTTAACAAGGATTTTCAGTGTCAGTCATACTGGTTAAGTTAAAAGGATGGTCCAAGCACTGTGTTCTTCTATTCTGTAGGGTTATGAATAGCTTATTGGAAAACCCAGAGCCTTCTGGATCTGTGAGGTAGTAGGCTCCAACTCTTACCATGAACACATCACACCTCTCCAAAGTTGGTATGGCCCGTCTCCTTGGCATGGTCCCTTGCTTCTGCTTGTCCAGTTAACCCCTTCTGACACACCATGCATCTCAGGGTGAAGCGGTTTACATCAGTAAACTGTCTCTTTTTTCTAGCTTCATCAGCTAACTCCAGGGCTTGTACGAGAACAATATCGTCATTTGAGGAGAAAATGGTCAGAGGAGGCGTATCTGGATCGGGGAAGTTACGCTGAAGCGGATCATAGTGGATGCCATCGTAGAGGAGCAGCACCCTTTTGGTATACCCCGCGTCTTCCCCAAAACGATCAATTCTGACGGTCTGTGTATCCACTACACATATTTCACATTGATAAAACTTAGACAGAATGGATATCTCAATGGCTCCCCCCCAAGTGTCATCCCTTTTGATCCATTCACAATACTCCTCGTTTGTTTTCCCCAGTATGGCCTCACTATAGAAGTCTGGATCGCTTGCTACAATCTGTGCTATGAGGCATCTCATGTCAGGGGCACAAGCTGGATTCAAGACTCCTCCTTCAACGACATAGTACACACTGGTAAAGAGGCAAGAGTTGTCTGCCGGGACCGCGGTCCTGGTAAGCACAGGCAGAGGTTCCCTGACATAGCTAGAAGCACCGTGTTTGGAAAATGCAGGTGACGCTTTTGGTCTGGTGTGGTCTTCTTCAACAATCAGCAGGTCACCTGTCGAAAATAAAACACATCCAGAACTGCAGAGAAGTTACAGATGGGGGGCTTATTAGCCAACTCGGTAAATTAGGAGCCAAATGAGTTCAAGCATAAAGTGGGTTACCAAGGAGAACATGGCTCTGTAAACAAGAGACCAGTAACACCTAAGTTTTGTTTGTTTTTTTAGTTCACTGTCGCATCCCAACTTAAAGACAAAAACCTTTATGTAAAAAGGTAAGTTGAAAAACAAAATCTCCTATATTCTTCACTTAAAAACGGGAATCTTTCGGCTGTTCACCACAGACTAGGTAGGTCACCAGGGTGTTCTCCTTGCACTTGGCATGACTATACATACCATTTGATGTTTACAAGGGGTCTTGACAGAACGGAAAGTTTTTAATGGTCAACACCGATGTTCGAGTTTTAACACTGGGAACAAAACTCTTACAGTTCATACAGTCCAGGTAAAAGTGTACACAAAACAAATTATAAAAACAAATCAACCAAGGGGAAAAGCAGTTTTAGACAAAATCGGTATCTCGACTGCCGGCCTGCTGATCAGGATAGGGAAAAAGAACCACCCACCGTATCAGCGGAAAAAGAGTCCTGCTGTCCTTTGGGAAAGCAGAGAAAACAAAATAAAACGAGATGGTCCCAAGGTTGACCCCGGAAGCAGGCTTGGGGAATGGGGAACTTCAAGGCTTTGCTCCCAAGCACTCGCCCCAGCCTTCCCGGGGCTCGGGTCGTCCAAGCCCCCAGCGGGCCCACCGGCACCCGGCCTCACCGGCTCCACTCTTCTCCCCTCCACGTCCTCCAGGCCTTACCCGGCCCCGGCCGGTGCCCGTACCTGAATGGATGGGCAGGTCCCCAAGCATTGTGTCCCGGTCGCTGAGGTCCAGGCACTCGGGCGGGTAGCCGACGAGGATGCGCTGACTGCCCGGAGCGATGCCGGTGATGGCGGCGATCTGGCCCTGGAGTTCCCGCAAGCGGGTCCGACAGGACAGCCCCTGCAGAACGTGGGTGCCACCCTTGGCCTTGCAGCGGAGCCGCCACATCGTGCCGGCCGGCCGGCCTCCTGCGGGGCCAGCTTTGGTCCCAGCCGCAGCCGGGGAGGAGGAGGAGACGCCGCCGCCACCGCCGCCGCCGGAGCCACCAGCGGGGGGGACCCCAAAATGGCCGCCTTTCGCGCCGCCAAACATCGCGAGAAGTAGCCCCCGCGGCGCTTCTTCTCGCGACACCTCGGGTAAGGGGAGCCGGCCCCCGGCCCTCCTTCAAGTGCGGACTCTTAAAGCGATAAAGGGGGCGGCTTGAGCGGAATGGCTGGAGGCTCGGGCGGCTTTTCGGGGCGCTGCGGTGAGGCGCCCTGCGCGTCCGCGAGCATTTATGCCCCAGGGAGGAGGGCGGGGAAGGAGTTTCCCCGAGTCTAGCAGAGCAGAATGTCACCTTGCAGGGAGGTCGGAAATGATGAAAGCAGCCGCAGCCGCAGCCGCCGCCGCAGCCGCAGCTTTTGCAGCCGCAGCTCTTGCAGCAGCAGGAAGCGCAGACTCATAGTTGGGAAGGTAAACAGATGCCAGGATAGGTCACCGGACCTGCCCCCTCCGTCAGAACTGATTCATCGAGGCCGAGACTGGACGGCCGGGCTCCTCGGTGGGTGAGACGAACTTGAAAGCGTCCACCTGCCACCCCAGAAAGACTGCGTGAGGTCAGCAAGCCTCAGTGCCTAGGGCGATGGATGGCCTCCCTCGGGTGGTGGCCGAGTCCCAGAGGACGGACTCCTGTCATCCGGATTCCAGTTCGATGCCTGGTATCCAAGCAGGAAGACACTTCATTCCCGCCTGGGGTGCAGCCAAGTCCTCACTGCGGCCGAGATGTGGCAGGAGAGACGGGGAAGAAGAGGCACACCGGCCAGGCACACTAGCCAGTTTCCAGCTGTGGGTGCCGAGAGCCCGAGACTGCCTTGAACTTTAAAAAAAAAAAAGTGTGCAGTAAACGCCAGCTAATGACCGAGTTTATAGCATGCGATGGCACGCTGAGGTTGTAAAACGCATACTCGGACTGTCTGGAAGATGACCCTGCCTGACTCCTCGGTAAAGAAGCAATGAGTAAAAGCAGCACTCGTTTTTTTGTTTTTGTTTTTTGTTTTTCTTTCATTTTTCATACTTTAGCTAAAGCAGCCACCTTCCCTCCCCTCCCCTCCCTCGCCCCCACGGGACTGTCCGTCGAATCAAGCCCCAACAGTGTGCTGGGGGCAACTTTGAAAAGTAGTTTGGGAACGTGTAAAACCCACTGAAACAGCCTCTCCCGATGAACCGATTGCAGCAAATCCTTTCCCCTCCACCCCCACACCAGGAGCGGGTGCAGTTTTCCTCCCTGGTGCTTCCAGATGACCACAGATAATAGAGTCTGGGTCGGGGTAGTAGGAGGAAATAAAAGGAACGCGGTTTTGGAGTGACCTGGAGAAGTCACCTGGGTCCAGGGAAGCTCCGGGTTCCGAGCATGGTTGGCTTAAGGTTCCAGGATCTGACCAGAAGTCGTAGTCAGCTCTTGCACCCTGGTAGCCAGTGAGGCATCTTTAAAAGCAAATGTCTACCCCCGGGGAGACTTTGGGGGGGACCACAACCGAGTCTAGCCGGGACTCGGGAGTGAAGGCGTTAATCTGCGTTTTCACCAGGCACTCCCACTCAAGATGTCAGTCAAATAGGTCTCGCGAGAAAAAGAAAAACTAAGGTAAGGCGTCTTATTAACCCCGCCTCCACCTCGATTTGTTCCCAAGCAACGATGCCACCAAGCTCCACTGAGTCGGCTGGTCTGGGAGCCGGCTGCCCTAGGCGATCACAGGTCCTCCCGGAGGCAGGTCCGCCTCCCCAGGAGCCCGCCTCCTGCCCTGCAGGGGCTTCATTGGTTCAGCCTGCCTCCAGGTGAGGGCTGACGCGCTGGTGGGCGGAGCCAAGCGGACCACGTGATCCTCCCCCTACCCACCCCCCAACCCCCGTTCCAGCAGGGGAGCCCAGACTTCAGTCAATCTGCCAGGTCTGGTTCGCGGCGCTCCGGTGGCGACACCCGGTCCACAGCCGGGAGGACGAATAGGGCAGGTCGAATAGGGTGAGCGAGAGTCGAGCAGTCCCGACGCGAGGATGGGGTGCTGCGCGGGCGCGGTGAAGGTGCAGAGCGATGGTGCTTCGCCCTTTCGGGAAGTGTAGCTCCCCTGGCACTCCTGGGCGTGCAGACCTTCGGGGACGCTGCCGGAGCTGCAGCTGGTGCATTTGCACTGTTAGGCGAGGAGCAGTGCAAGGTTTTTCTTCTTTTCTTTTCTTTTTTTAATAGAACCTTTTGTCTTGAGCTCCTTGGTATCTATCTGGGTTTGAGAAGTGAAACTCGGTCCCTCCTACCTAATTGATATTAGGACCCAAGGCTTATTTAGCAGGTAAGCCATACTCTTCCGCTGAGCCCCAGGGGGTAGGGAGGGAGGCTTGAGAATGGAGAACACTGGAGAACATAACGTGCTAGGGAGATCTCAGACCCGTTACATCTTCCTTCTTCTAGAGGACATGTTTCTGCCCCTGTCCTTCTCACCACCGTTCCCATTCTTTCTCTCTCTCTCTTTTTTTCTTTTTTCTCTTCAAGACTGAGTTTTACCTTTGCATTGAGATTGCTTTCTTGATAACGCTCTTGACTTATTCTCACCTCCACCTCACTTCTGATTGCCACCTCTGTCCCTCCCATATTCTTAAAACTAGAACATGAGGTCAAGAAGCTTGGACAAGCACTTTTTAGTCGGTTATCTTTGTCAGTTCTATAAAACGAAATGAAGTGCTCATGATAGGAAAATATGCTTCATTAAAAGACTGTTGGAAAGCGTGCTGGATTTGAGATAGATGAATGTGAACAAGGCCAGCAAATACGCGCAAAGTTGAAGTGCAGCTCTGTAGGTGATGAATCAGGTTTGTGACTTATCCTAGAGCAAGTGGCTGTGAATTGGGAGGGAGAGGCTGGCCCTGAATCTTCTAGGGGCTCCTTGCTTGTAGCACACTAATCTCTGTATTGTTTTTAGGGACATCTTCCATCCAGCCCTTGTATCTTCTCCCTCTTTTCCCAGGTGCCTTCTGAGGAACTACCATGTCTGGGGATAGTTCATCTTGCACAGAACACAGAAGCAGCAGCAGCAGCAGCAGCAGCAGCAGCTGTAAACCTCATGCCTCCAACCTTCGGAAGGCAGGGAAGAAATGCTGTGAGTTCTGGTAGAGTGAAGGCTGCTCCCTCTTTGTCCTGGAAATGTGTTTGTATCCTAGACTCCCTTGCTCTGTGGGAGTGAACAGTAATTCCTGGGCATGGCAACGCACATTTTATTTATTTTGTGACGGGGTGGTTTTACTACAGAGCCCTGGCTTGCTGGGGACTTGCTGTGTGACCCAGGCTACCCTGTGACTCAGGCAATTCTCCTCTTGTAGCCTCTTTGAGTACACATGTGTGCCACTGTGTCTGACGTGACATGGGATTTAAAACAAAGTCTACACGGTGGGCAATTTCCTGTCCCAAACAAGTAGGCTTGTTGAAATGTGTCTTTGGAGCTTGACTGCTGGGTGGCTCAGAGTTTCTTGCTGCTTTCGTTGGCCATGGGAGCACTTGCCTGATGTTGGAAACTAGAACAAGTTCTTACATACGTAGGATGGCAGAGTGTCAAGGTACAGGATTAATCTGGGGCTGTCACTCTCTGTTTCCCTTAATCTCTTGGACTGTGTTCTAGATCGGTGACACTAAACTGCGCTCAGAAGCCAGGCAGGGTGGTCCACACCCGTAATCCAAGCCCTGGTGAGATAAAGGCAGAATCAGGAGTTCAAAGTTGTGCTCAGCTACATATACTTAGTTCAGAGTAAGCCTGGGCTACTCGAGACCTTGTCTCAAAAAAAGCAAGCAACCAGGAGTTGCAGGTAGAAGCCAGTACTTGTCCTGTACCTCCAGGCCTGAGGGGAACGAGCCCTGACATGTGAATCTTGGTGTCTTGGGTCCTTGCGTTCTTACAGGGCTAGCCTTGCATTTTGTAGATTCCTTCACATAAGCGCAGAGAGGACAGCAGTGGTGGCAGGGGAATGTTCCCCCGACTTTACATTCCTAGGCAAGGTTCTAGAGTTCCCTAAAAGTCTGGGGCATTGGCCATCAGATGTTTCTAGAGCCCTCAGAAGAATGTTAGCATGCTTGGTCTTCCTTGTGGAATACACCTTTTTTGGAACCCTTCCAGTTGAGTCAGAAGTGCTTCTGCATGTGGGCGGAAGGAGGTGGGTGGTCAGCTTGAGACCAGGTACTGGATGTGTTCAGAGTCTACCCCAGAGGCTCCGCCACGGGGTCATGCTCTTGTTCATTTCATGCTCTCTTATCTGGCGTCCATGATGTCATGTCCTGGATAGATGCAGGTATAGTACTGAGCTTGGCACACCTCTGGTTAGGGCAGGAAGTCAGTACGGAGGGCAAACTGTCTCGTGAGTAAACTAGGCGGCAGGATGCTTAGTTGTAGACCCCTCATTGGGACTACCTGGGTTTGAATAGTGGTTTTCCTGTTTCCTAGCTGTGCACCCTTGAGCGATTTGCTTAACCTCTCTCTCCCCCAGTTTACTCCTTTTTTTAAAGACTCAAGCCTCCCTTCCCTCTGTCCCCTATGACCCCCTTCTCTTTTCTCTCCCCTGACAGTGTCCCACTGTGTGGCCCAGATCAGCGTTAACCGTGATTTTCTTGCCTTAGATCCAGAGTGCTAGGATTACAGGTGTACACCGCCACTCTTAACCTAGTTTACTCTGTTATATAGTGGAGATACTAAGGTTGTTCTCCCGGGAGTGATGTGAGAATTAAATAAGAAAATACAGACAAGCACTCAGACGAATGTTGGAACTAACTGCTGTGTATAATTTTTCACAAGTAACTCTACTTTTTGTATTTACGCTTGAAACAATACATGTAAGTAGTATGATACTCAGATGCTGGCAACCCCTCATAGTTTAAGAGCCCTTTGTTTTTTCCGTGAAGAATGTTTTCTATTGTTTGACAGTATTATAACTCACATGTTCTGATCCAGTGTGGCCCTCTTAAATGGACTGTTCTCCTGTTACTGGGGTATGTGATCCACAAGGCAGTGGAGAGGGATGGGGGTGGACATCAGGACCAGCTAGTTCACATTCTCAGCCCTCCGAGCTCTGCCTTGCTCTCCAACTGGCTGCTTCTTCTGCCTGCCTTCCTAACCCTTTCATAGCTCTTCTACCCGAGGGCTTTTGATTAAGAAGCATAATCCTAGGTCTTGTTTATGATTTCTAGACTCACCCCTGCTCCTGGCCATAGTTTTTCTTTTCTAATCTCTACCCTTTTAAAACTGCTTTTTCTACCCAACTGAAGGGCTCTGAGTTGTCCTTTATGTACCCAACTTTTCTTACCTCATGGAAGGACTGAGATTGTGAGATCCTTAGGAGAGTATTAGTTTTGTTTTGTTTTTTTTTTTCTGTACTGTGCACAGAGACTTGGCTGTTTGACTATTTAGACGGCTTGTTCTGGTCTCTGTTACTGTGTCCTTTTTAAAAACCTCACTAAGTGTAGATAGCATTCCTAAGTTGGTAGACCCAGACTCACCCCTTCCGCATCATGTGGAGACGGTCCCTTGTTTAGAGACTCGCCGCCTGCCTCGTGTTGCTTTATTTATAGCTCAGCTGCTGTCTTCTCACTGCTCCTCACACCTGCAAGCTAACTTTGAGTCTGGGAAGTGACTGGGCTTCACTTCAAGCCAAAGAATGACTGCAAGGAGCCAAGACCTCGGGAGCCTTCCTGGGACTTGGGTTGTTCCTGGGATGGGGTTGTAGGCATGCTGGTTGGGGTCTTTTTAAGGTACCCAGGTGGGTGGTTTCAGGGGTCTCTGAGAGCAGGAAATGAGGGACCTATACGCTTTCCTTATTAAGACTTTTTCTCTTTCTCATATTTTGGTTTCTTTTATTTATTTTTAAAATATTTTGAGTAGATCTGGAGAAGACAAGTATATTTTCCCCTAAACACAAAAGTAATGCATGTTTAGGAAACTCAGATAATTAAAAAAGAAAACATGGAAAGTAAAATCTCTTCTAGTCTCTCTTCTCTCTGCTAACGTCACTTCTTTTGGATGTTTAGTTCTGGTGTATCCCATTACCAGACATAGGTAGACTCATGATATACATAGTCTGTTCTGTTGCCATTTCCTTTCTAAGTATTTATTATACTTTGGATTCTTGTTTATTTTTTTACATATTGGTACATCCATGTTGACCTCATTCATTCTCCATTGTGTGAATCTCCCTGATAATTGTTTGAAACTTTTCACCATCAAAAAGAACGCTTCGGTGAGCACCTTTATACGTCTGCATGCTCATGTCAACAGCATTTCCTACAGACATAAGAGGAGCATGACAGACCCAGTGGGAGCCCTCCGCCATGTTGTAATGTGTTCTGTGCAGTTTCTGGGCCTGGAGATGTATCTGCTGGAAGTTGCCTATTACTGGCCAAGGCTGCACTGCCTACCAGAAACCTCAGTTTTCTTAGTGTTTGGGTGCAGTTCTTCCAACTTGATTATTTCATGCTCATCAGTCAAACAGCAGTAGATAATCAGATTTTATAATTTTTAATGAATAACATTAAGGTAACAGTAATGATAATGTGTTATCGGTTGCATATTCAAAATACTGGGCCTGTTGAATGTGGATAATGGAAAAAGTCCTTGGCCGGGAGGAGACCAGGAACCATTACTCTCCTAGACATCCTCCCAGATAAGCTTGGAGAACACAATCATGTTTTCAATGGGACCTTTCGTTATGTGCTAATGTGATGGCCAAGAACCAGCAGATAAGCCTGAATAGGCAGTCATGAGATCAGTAATGTGGTCAAGAAGCCTGACCTTGACTCTCTTCTGTGGTCCTGTGGGCCAAGCTCATACATTCTCTGGGATTTAGTTTTTCCATTTATGTGAAAGAAACTCTCAAGTTCTCATTTTTACTAAGCATGCTTACAAAGAGAAATGAATTGAAGCTGGATAAAGCAAATTTAAACTCTGCATAAAAAAGACAAAAGGATTTCAGGATTGGAACAGTTTTCCATTGTATGTCAAGAGGTGGTGTTACATATCTCTAGGTCAATCAGTGTGAAGTACCTTCTATTCACACTCAGGTGGTGCTTTTCCTTGAACAACAAAGTTCCCAGTTTCACCAGCCTAGCAGTTTGAGATAGGAAGTAGTATTTGGGTTTTGGTTTTTGCTTTCCCCAGAAAGCCCTGGTTATAGTAGGTGTGTGTGTGTGTGTGTGTGTGTGTGTGTGTGTGTGTGTGTGTGTGTGTATGCATGTGCTGTAGGCCGAGGCTGGAAGAGTGGTACTGAAGAGTAGGGATATGGCGTGCCCGTGGGCCCAACCCTTTTGTTGTTATCTTTTGTTGTTAGCTTTCTAGCTTTCTCTGTCCAGCATGGTGAACACAGAGCAGCTACTCCCAGGCTTCTCTCAGAGTAGCTCCTAAGCATGCTTTCGTTCTAAACTTCAGGGAGGGTAACAGCGTCATTGGCGGAAGTGCCTAATGGGCTAGAAGATGTGGACAGAGAGGCCTGTAAGTGCAGCTAATGAACCAAATCATCACATGTCCAGAGGAGGATGTGATAAGCTGGAGACCATGAAGACTTGGGGGTGGAGGGTTGGGGGGGGGGTTTACTGCACGGACCTGTTGCCAGGCGGGCCTGTTGCCTCCCGGGGTCAGTGCTCAGGGACTAATGCCCACAGAGGCTCCCAGGTGTTGTTTACTTACTTCTTAGCTCCTTGTGTGGATGGAGATGGAAACTGCTTTTGCTGCCCCATGACCTATCTTGGTGGAGCTCCTGTCCAGAGTCAGCAATTTCCCCCACGCAGCAGGGCTTGGATTCTCAGTGGGTGGTCTCCTAGTTCTTTTTGAAGGAAAGAATTCATAGAGACAGTTAATAGAATGCTTAAACAGAAGTTTATTTAGCAAAGCTAAACAAAGTGGAGACTCTAAGGAGATTGCAATGGGCGTCTTCAAGGCAGGAAGCAGCCCAGCAGGTTCTGAACTATGAGGTGGGTGCCTTTGTCCTCCCAAATCATGGTGGGCCACATCTCCCTTTTAGGATATTTCTTCCCATGACCCTGCAGACGGGGAGGTGTCACAACAGCAATGCACATGACATTATGATGATATCAGGTCTTGAGGATGCAGACCGTCAGTGACCATGTGTGGGGAAATTCCCTGGTGCCTTAGTTTCTGGCACAGTGGGAACAACCTCACTGCAGCTTCAAAGATGCTTAGCCTCAGAGTGGCATTGACACCATCAGGTGACACATGTTACAGAGTCCCTTTGGAAAAAGGTGCTAGAAGTAGACGGTCAAGGCAGGTTTCTTCCTTTTCTTGTCTTTTGCCATGGAGAAGGCCTGCAGCCTGAACTCTCCCTGGTGACGTCAGCTGGGGTCTTGGCTCCAAGAAGGGTTGATCAGGCACAGATGCAGGTCTTTCCTCCACCTCTGCTTGGTGGCAGCATGCACATGGAGGAGCCAGTTCTGTGAGTAAACTGAAAAAGGCCTCTTGTTAGGGAGAACAACTGGGGCGCACCGGTCTGGATTCCAGGGGCACATCTACACTTGACTAATTTTGTGCTGTAACGAGTCACAGACTGTCTAAGCCCACCAGCCCAGTGAAACCTGTACTTGGACCACTCCTGAGAGAAGTTAGTTACTATGGAAAGGTCAGCACCACCAACTGCCCTGCTTACTGGTCGTCCTGCCTTTGTATGAGCTGTTGAGGCAGGCAGGCCGCCATGTCCTTGTGCTTGATCCTGAACCTTTATGGAGTCTATTCAAACCTTTCTCCTGCAGGCTTTGGCTCCCAAATGGGACTGTGGTTTAGAAATTATGTGGGGGAGGAGTTCATGACCTGAGTGTGGTGGCTTGAGGCAGGGATCTTTTTTGCAGAGACCATCAAAGTTTTGCCCGTGGCTCTGGAGGGATGGGTGGGATTCTCAAGGGAGACACTCTGTGGGACCTATTTTAAAGTCAGTCTGGTTTGGGGGTGAATGGAATCATAGCTACAATGTTTTTAATCATTCTTGCTCTTTCGAATCTTTACTATTTCTTTCCCTCTTGGGAACCTCTCTGAATGAAGACTTGGGAAAAAATGCCTGGGTGTGGGTTCTTTATGGAAGTCTGCATGACCCTTTAACTCTGTAGCCTCGGTTTGCCTTCTCACCCTTGCTGGACCTTTGCCCAGGAGGCTTGTGAGGACTAAATGAGATGATGACTACGGAGTTCCTCATCGGGACATAAGCCTCACGAGACGTGTCGTCACTTAGCCCTACCTGTCTCCTCTTCTTTCAGCATGGGCTTCCTACATGACCAACTCCCCAACTCTCATCGTTATGATTGGTTTGCCAGCCCGGGGGAAGACTTACGTGTCCAAGAAACTAACACGCTACCTCAACTGGATTGGGGTACCCACCAAAGGTAGGTGCAGGCCTTTCCTCGGGAAGGGAGTTGATTAGTTCGGGGCCCCCACAGGCCTCTGAGAGACTTAATCTTCCTAACGTCGAGGTCCTCTAATACTTCTGATGAAAATAAAGATTGCTTCCTCGTTCCCTGGGTTTGTTTCCTGTCCCCAGACATGTCTCCTCCAGGCCTAGGCAGATCGTCCTGCTTTTGATAGAATGCCTCTGGTAGAAGTAGTCAGAATTAAATGAGAATGTGCTGTCTCAGAACTCATGGCACATGTGTCATGTTCTGAACCTTGATGATACCCTGGTGAGACAGTAGCTAAGGAGATAAGATGCTCAGTTTCAGCTTGCTCACGTTCTTCACCCGGCAGGACTTGAACCCAGCTTGTCTTAGTTTGGTATTGTTTCCTACATACATGGAGCTTTTTCCATCCCATTGGCCACTCTGTTAGGCCAAGAAGTCTCCTTTAGTGGGGCCATCATATTGTTTTTGCTGCAGTGTTTAACCTCGGGGTATATCGGCGCGAAGCGGTCAAGTCCTATAAGTCTTACGACTTCTTTCGACATGACAATGAGGAGGCTATGAAGATCCGCAAGTGAGTCTTTTTCTTTTTCAAGGCCTGACCTAAGTCAGCTGTTTCTGGCCAGTTGTGAGACTGAATGTGTTAGGGCCTAGTTTTTCTCAGGAAATACCTTGGGGGCATTTTAATGCATATGATTACATTGAAAGATCAGCTTGGGTGGGTGGGTAGCAGACAGGACTGTAGAAGATGCTTTTGCGTGATGTCTAAAGAGGTATACGGCCTATAAACTGGACATGGAGGAAATTGTAGGATGGTGTGCAAACTTCCTGGGAAAGTTGAAAGACTTAGTTAGGGGGAGCATGACCAGAAAGAAATTGAGTGGGCAGTACAACTGTGTGTGTCTCCGGCCTTGCTTGCTCTTAGAGCTTTCCACTGAGTTCCTTTCTTCTCCTGGCAGACAGTGTGCTCTGGTAGCACTGGAAGATGTAAAGGCCTATTTTACTGAAGAGAGTGGGCAGATTGCGGTAAGCGGTGTCTGCTTCCCTTCATCCCCACTCTTCTGGCATCCTGGTTACTCAGCTCCACCTGGAGTCGGCCTTGGGCGGTGTTTCACTTTTCCCTTCCTGGTCATTTGCTTTGTATGCTCTCTGCCTAGGTGTTCGATGCTACCAATACCACTCGGGAGAGGAGGGACATGATTTTGAATTTTGCTGAGCAGAATGCCTTCAAGGTGGGCTCTGACTCTATGTTGGAAGAGAAGGGAGGTGTGGAGGTGGGGAGCTAGGATGGAGAGACGGGAATGTAGATGGCTTTGACTCTGATGAACACAGGATTAGGATATCTGATTGTGACCACTTGGGGCATAGGCCTATCCTCGATTGTTTTTGTTTAGATCCTTTCTCTGGCCTTTATTTAGCCTGTAAGGCAGGCTGGGGGACACTTCATAAGGAAGTCCTGACGATGTGGTGGTTGGGCGGGGTGGGTGAGGATGTACTTTCAGTTAACAATCTGGCGTTTTTGACGGGATTATCACGCCTTCGCTCCATGGCCAGGTGTTCTTTGTGGAATCTGTCTGTGATGATCCTGATGTCATTGCTGCCAATATTCTGGTGAGTGTCATCCCTGTAACCATTAGTCAGCCAGTCAGTCTGTCTCAGTCTCTCTGTCTCTGTTGCTCTCCAGAGAGAGAGAGAGAGAGAGAGAGAGAGAGAGAGAGAGAGAGAGAGAGAGAGAGAGAGAACTCTGGGTAATGAAAGAAGGAAGCACAGGGAGAGATCTTCTTTTTCTGGGAGCATTTGCACCTTTGAAATCTTCTCTTGGGAAAAGAACCTGGGTTTGTGGAGAATACAGTAGAAATGAGGTGCTGAATGGGGAACAGCTTAGGCTGGGAGCCCTGGCTTTGTGTTCTGACATTACCCGATGCGGGAGACCTAAATGGTGTGCCAGATTAGACTTCTTTTTCCTGTTCAGCCACCTCCTAGGAAGGTTGTTGATTCAGTATCATGTAAGGTTGCGATCAGCATTGACGACTGCACTCCAGTGCCCTGCGGGGCACAGCACCAGCCAGTTGTCACTGGGTCGGTTGTTCTGTCCTGTGCCCATGGGCATCTTTGTATCCTCTCCCAGAGGTGCCTTCCCATCATAGGAGCTGGAGTGACCTTATTTGAGGAAGAGGCAGTGATCCCTAAGTCAAACACTGGGCCACATCCCCGGTGCTGAGAAGCAGTGGGGGGAAATTGGAGCCCATTCTGTGATTGCAGGCAAATACGTACAGGGCTCAGGGCTCAGAAGCAGCGTTAGCTGCGTGACTCCCTCTGTCCCTGGGCCAGAAGGCAGGCACATGACTCCCCAGTTGTCTTCCCTTTCTTGGTTGCCAGGGTCACAGGACAGGATGGGAGTGTTCAGTGGACGGGGAATGCCAGCGCTCCAGTGAAAGCTGTTTTTATGGACTTCTTCTGTTTTTAGCAGTGGCTGTTTGTAGGAGGGCTGTGAAGAACAGAGTTCTGACCGGGCCCTTATGTTCCTGTGATTTCAGGAGGTAAAAGTGTCGAGCCCTGACTATCCTGAAAGGAATAGGGAGAATGTGATGGAGGACTTCCTGAAGAGAATTGAGTGCTACAAAGTCACTTACCAGCCCCTTGACCCAGACAACTATGATAAGTAAGGTTCAACACCATGGTCTGAGGGTTGAGGCAGGAGGAAAAGTGTCTTTCTCCCTGTTGGTCTCGGATTCTTCCTGGTAATCTAAACCTACGCTGTTTACGCCATTTCACAGAACGGGGTTCTTGTTGTGATATTGTCTTAGTTAGGTTACCATTGCTGTGATGAAACACCATGACCAAATGCAAACTGGGAAGGAAAGGGCTTATTTGGCTTGTACTTCCACACTGTAGTCTATCACTGAGAGAAGTCAGGACAGGACTCAAGCTTGACAGGAACCTGGAGGCAGGAGCTGACTGATGCAGAAACCATGGAGGGGTACTGCTTACAGGCTTGCTCCTCATGGCTTGCTCAGCCTGCCTTCTTATAGAACCCAGGACCACCACCCCAGGGATGGTACCAACTACATGCTGGACCCTTCCCCATCAATCACTAATTAAGAAACTGCCCTACAGCCTCATCTCATGGAGGCATTTTCTTAATTGGGGTTCCCTGCTCTCAGATGACTTTAGCTTATGTTAAGTTGACATTAAACTATCCAGGACAGATATTTATGTGGGTTGTGTGTTTTACCTAACCATACTTAACCATATTTTCCTATCATGAGTTTTTCTTTTCTAATCTCTAGAGCAGTGGTTCTCAACCTGTGGGTTGGGAACCCCTTTGGGGTTAGAATGACCCTTTTTTAGGGGTTGCATATCAGATATCCTGCATGTCAGATTTTATATTATGATTCATAACTAGCAAAATTACAGTTATGAAGTAGCAACGAGAATTTTATGTTTGGGGTCACAACATAAAGAACTGTATTAAAGGGTCTCAGCGTTAGGAAGGTTGAGAACCACTGCTCTAGAACAAGGTTTTCCATCTAAGCCTTAGTGACATTTTGAACTGTGGAATTCTTTCTCTGTGTACTCTAGTATGTGTAGCAGTCTCCTTGACCTCTGTCCACTAGGTACCAGAAACACCTCCAAGCTGTGACAGTGGAAATGTTTTTAGCTATTACCAAATGTCTCCTAGGGACCCAAACCGTCTCTAGTTACAAAGCACTGTTCCAGATTCCGCAAATCTGGACTAGAATGCTGTAGGGTATCTCTTAGAGGTATGTCATCAGTGTTGAAGTTTACCATGTATAATCTGTATTTTAGTATATATGCTTGTTACATATATATCACATGAACTCGGGGATGCTGCCTGACAGAAGGAGATATGTCTGATCGATGTTAGCCATTCTGACTGTGGTAATGTCTCCTGGCAGTGAGGCATAGAATACAGACCGATTGGCCTGGTGTGGGGTATTGTGACATGTTAAGTCCATGTTGCAGAAAGGCAGTGTATGTATGTATGGAAACCTGTGGGAACATTGCCTTATGAAATAGTGTGTTTTGTTTTGAGTTTTTGAGACAGTCTCAAGGAGTCCATGCCGGCCTTTAGCTTACTCTGTGACAGGATGACCTTGAACTCCTGAACCTTGTGCTTCCCGCCCTCTGTAGTGCTAGGATTATATTTCCAAGAAACAGCGTTATATCCACTCATTTCTCATCACTGTGACGGAACACTTGGCATAAGGAACTCGGGAGGGCTGTTTGTTTGGGCTCAGTGTTCAGCAGGTCCAGCAGCACCGTGGTGGTGGGGACAGCCTGGGAGCAGGACTCCCCGCCGCTGCCCCCCACCCCCCTGCCCCCTCCCATGGGGGTGGAAGGCTGCTGCTTGCTCACATCTCAGAGGCTCAGGAAGCAGAACAGTTGTGCTCCCCTGGCCTTCTCTCCCCTCTCCGCCCAGTTTTTGAGTCAGGATCTCCCTGTGTGCTCTGGGACAGCCTTGACCTCAGGGCGGCCCTAGTGCTGAGATTGCAAGTGTGAGCCCCCATGCCTCTCTCCATTCTCTCTTTTTATTCGGCCCAGGACCCTCTAGACCATGAGATGCTGCTGTCTGTAGTCAGGGGGAGGGTCCCGCCCTTATTTAGTCTTCTGTGGAAACACCCTCACAGACATACCCAGAGGTGTGTCTCTAGTGCCCCGGGCAGTTCTTAATCCAGTCGTGCTGAGTATCAGAACCAGCCCTCACAGTACTGTGCGCAGCCCAGGATTAAGTCACTGGAGTTATCTCATTAATGCCTTGAGCTTTCATTTTCTCCAAATGGATTTCCCAGAATACAAGTATTTAGAAGCATTTCCATAAGAAGTGGCTGAAAAAAGGCACTGCCCTAGGTATGGCATGAGAAGATACCTCCAGTCTCTCTAATTCCTGTGTAGAAAAGCATTCTACAGAGATATTTATGTTGATAAGCATGTATGTTTATAGATTTTTATCTCTGGTGGTAGGTCAATGGGTGACTTACCTTATTGTATCATTTTCTCCCAATCATTGTTTTGAATAATCTCTTATTACTCTAATTTTAAGAAAAATCCTATGGCTACAAAGCAAATAGTTAGGGGCAGTGTCTTTGAGAGAGCTTGGCTAGATGGTGCAGGGTGTCGCAGGCGCTCTGGTTTTTTCCTTCCTCGTCCCCACCACCCCCGCCGGAGTTGCCATGCCCTGTCTAGATTTTGACCACATCCTGTGGGGCCCACACGTATCTCACCGAATTCTGAATTTAGCAAGATCTTCAAGTCACTTGAAGTCCTAGCTCTGGGACGTGTGAATTGTGTTCCCCACACTTGCACATACGGCATGGCGCAGGATGGACACCGAGGAGGTTGTCCATACTTGGAAGTTCAGTCAAATGTGTGCCGCCTTCATTTGAAGATGTAACCTATCTCTTGGCATTTGGTTGTTCTGTAAATCTGGCAGTGAGGGGGAGAGAAGGAAGAGCTATTTGATGGGGCCCAGGCACTGTACAAATCATTCTCCCCACCCGTTTTGTTGGTTCGTTTGTCTTGAGTCAGGGTCGAACTCGAACCCCTCCCGCCTTGGCTCCTAAGTGCTGGGGTTGTCGGCCGGGCCGACAGACAGCCTTGCTCCCCGCCCACCTCACTCCTCCTCTCATATTTTCTCACCGGGGAATTCCTTCTTTCTGCCCTATCCCAGGGATCTGTCTTTCATCAAGGTGATAAATGTAGGCCAGAGATTTCTGGTCAACAGAGTCCAGGACTACATCCAGAGTAAAATTGTCTACTACCTTATGAACATCCATGTCCAGCCTCGCACAATCTACCTTTGCCGGCATGGGGAGAGCGACTTCAATCTTCTGGGGAAGATTGGGGGTGACTCTGGTCTTTCACCTCGAGGAAAGCAGGTGAGTAGTTAGCCAGCAGGCTGGATTTCCTACGCTTAGAGTTGGAAGGGCATGCTGGAGGTCATCTGTTTTATCCCCTCCTGCTTAAATCCCATTTGGGCTTAGGCTGTGGTGTCACACAGCCAGGCAAGGGCTAAGGATGTTCTCTGCTTACTGTTCCTAACTCTGGATTAAAGTGTGGGTCACTTGAGACCCTTTCTGCTGTGATCATTCAGCCATCAGGAAATTATTGGGCACTATTTATGATGTGACACAGAGTCCTCCAACCGACTTTCATTTCCCCTTGGGTTTATGGTTTGACCATGGCTAGTAGTCTCTGTGTGTATTGTGTGTGTATGGTATGGTGGGTTTTCTTTGTTTAGCTTTTTTTTCCAAATCCCAGTTTGCTCAGGCTTTGAAGAAGTTTCTGGAGGATCAGGAGATCCAGGACCTCAAAGTGTGGACGAGCCAGTTGAAGAGGACTATTCAGACTGCTGAGTGCCTTGGGGTGACCTATGAGCAGTGGAAGATACTGAATGAGATTGATGCTGTGAGTCGGCATTCCTGATTGACACTCTCAGAAGTCATAACCTGGGTAACTTAGAAAACCAGAATCATCACCTAGAAACTGCGGGATCTGAATCTGGCCATTTCAGAGGTTAGGCGAGAAAGAGGTTAACTACTCCTCATCAGGGCTCTTCTCATACCTGAGCCCAAGGCAAGACACCAGTCTTCACCGAACCACTGGTGCTTGTATCAAGTGGAGCCAACAAGGACTCATTTTGTTTCCCTTCTAGGCAAGGGAAATTCCTAATCACTCAGTCCTGTAATACTTGCTTTGATCATTCAGCCAGCAGTTCCGGGAAAGTCTTTCCCCAAATTTTTCTTGGCATTCTTTATTGCTTAGCCCAGATATATATTTCTTTTTGTTTTTATTGATACCAGGGCTCACTCTAGCCCAGGTTGGCCTGGAACTCATCATGATCGTCCTGCCTCAGCGTCCCAGCCATTGAGCTGACAGGTCAGCTTAGACGCTTCTCTTTCCATCCTTGCCAGCCCTTCTGTTCCTCCCACAGGGTTTCTCTTCCCCTCAGTCTCCCCTCCTCTGATTCCTGATCCTGTCGTCCTGCAGACGCTTGCTGACCTGTGACTTCCCTTGCACAGTAGGATAGAGTGGCAGTCGAGCTAGAGAAGCCTCCTCCCCACAGCACCTGTGGCAGCTGCCGCCGCTGGCCACAGATAGGTGCAATACACGGAAGGCCGGCCTCAGCACGTGGCCTCCACTCACAGTGAGGCACTGCTGTCCCTCAGTGTCACTGTCCTCGCCTGGGACGGGGAGAGCGTGGGCCAGCCCATGTCCTGACGCTGGTACGGCTCTTGCAGGGCGTGTGCGAGGAAATGACGTATGCGGAGATTGAGAAGCGGTACCCCGAGGAGTTTGCACTTCGGGATCAAGAGAAGTACCTGTATCGATATCCTGGTGGGGAGGTGAGGCCTCATTCACTTGGCGTAGCTGTCTAGTGCTTTGCTGGGCTCTTTTCTCAGGGGGAGGAGAAAGGGTGACCTAGGAATCCCTTCTTATCCTGCCTTTGGTTCCACTGTTTAATTCAGCTTACACAGTCAGCTCTACATTTCGTTAACTTTTTAAGATCCCTAGGGGACAGGGTGACAAGATCCCTTTTGTGTTGAGAATGTTATAGAACGAACATGATCTTGTTACTTTTTCCCTTCTCTTCCCTCTCCTCCACTCCTACAGGCAGATAGAGTCATTTAAGTAAGCACAGGGCATGAGTTACTTCCTTTACCACGTTTTAGGCACTGTCCTTTTTGAAATGGCTTTCTACCCTAGGGTATGCGTGGCAAGGGTAAATGAAATGTAATGGCCGAGGTTCAGGAACCTTCTAGAGCTCTTTTGTTGCTCTACACACTGCCTATTAATGTCTCTGAGGAAAAGAGAAATAAATTGCATTTCTTGAACGGTGGTTTTTGGTCTAAATAATTGCTTTTGAAAGATCTGGATGTTCTTAGGAAACCAGGGCTGGGCAGTTAGGCAGCAGAGAGGCACTACGCCTCCCCCGCCAGAGTCGTCTCTTGATTCTGGAACTTAGCCAGCATCTTGGCTGCCAGCGCGCACCTGGCCTCTTACCAGCTCTCCTTCCTTCTCCCGAAGTCCTACCAGGACCTGGTGCAGCGACTGGAGCCTGTCATCATGGAGCTGGAGCGTCAGGGCAACATCCTGGTCATCTCTCACCAAGCCGTCATGCGCTGTCTCCTGGCCTACTTCTTGGATAAAGGAGCAGGTGCTGTGTGAGGGGAGGGGTGGGGGAGGGGATGACACACACACACAGGGACAAGGCTGGACGTGGTGGTCCCGGGATTCTTGACTACTGCCTTTCCTTCTTCCACTCATATTAGAGTCTGTTCTTGAGGCTGTAGTGTGGAGCGCCCAGCAGCCGCCGCCCGCCCCCCCCCCCCCCCCCCCCCCCCGCCCCCCCCCCCCCCCCCCCCCCCTTACTCACTTGAGTCTGCTGCTCCCAAAGCTGGCAGCGGAGGAGGATGGCTGATTGGATGCTGCGTGGTCTGCCGAAAGGGTCCCCTCCAGCCGACCTTACTGGCGGTGTCAAGGCGGGGACTTGAACAGTCCAGTTTGTCTGTCCAATGATTGCGGGTGGTTTATTAGGACTGTCTTCACCCTTTGGTGGGGGGAAGAGAGCAGTTTCAGAAAAGCAGTAGGAAGTGCTCCTCTGGCCTGTCTGTCCCCAGTCCTTAGGTTGCTTGAAGCCTTGCATTTCTTTTTTTCATGCATTTCGGATCTACACTGGCCCTCGTTTCCTTCCTTACCACCCGGTAGCTTGGGTGGCTTCTTTGGACCTGCCGGTTTTCTGAGTTTAGGGGAGAAGCTGAGCCACTCTAGGTGATGGTCAGGGTAAAGAAAGCTCATAGGCCCTTAGATTCTCTTTTCCTCAAATGACCTTATTCCTTAATACTCAGACTTCCCTCCCCGGGTCCTTTTTTCTTTCAGATGAGTTACCATACTTGAGGTGTCCTCTCCACACCATCTTCAAACTTACTCCTGTGGCCTATGGTAACTATGAGCTTGAGCTGGTGAGAGGTGGGATCTGAGGAACATCAGGAGATATATATATATATATCCTCTATGTAGCAGGGATGTTCTGTTAGTAGCTTCCGCTTGAAAAGAGCATATGCACATGTGTTTCTCTGGAATACACGTATGCATGCCCCAGTGTATGCTCGACCATGCTGAGACTGAAGAGTTTTCTTTGAGCTGCTTCTTGGGGGCTTTTCCCTCCTCCTCCTCTCTACCCCTACCCCCTTCTTGTTGGTTGTTTATTCCTTGTGCTTGGTTTTATTTTGTTTTGTTTTGGGGACTAGTTGGGTCTAGCCTGGAACTCCAGGTAGTGTGGAACTCATGACAGTTCACCTGCCTCAGCCTCCATGTACTGGGGTTTCAGGAGTGAGCCACCATGCCTGGCTCTGACAGCTTTTCTTTCCTGGTGTTTTGTTTTTTTTTTCAGGATGCAAAGTGGAAACAATTAAACTCAATGTGGAGGCTGTGGACACACATCGTGATAGGCCAACGGTAAGTATTCCCTAGTTACCTTGAATCTTTGAATTGGTGTCATCAAGAGGCTTGGGTTTCTTTTATAAAGAAAAACAAATCCAGAATTCATGGCCCGTAATGGTCTCCTTACTTCCAACAGGGAAAGATGAAGGGATTTTTAGTGTTTGAATGAGTATCTCTCTCATGAATCATAGCCCTGAAAGTTAGCTCCTGGGAATCGAGTTCAATATAGAAAGTATTTGGCTGAAGTGAAATGTCTGAATTCCCATGCTGCACCCCCAGAGAAGTCTCCATTTGCAAAGCAGGGTCTAAGGGGTCATTACCAGTGTAGTCAGGAGCTTCCGGTCAGCTCCTTGGTCTGCGCTTGGCAACCTGTGTGGACTTAAGCAACCGCCTTTGTTGGCTCCCTTACTTCCCTTCGACGTGGTGCCCAGGGATCTTCCCCTGTGATGAGCCTTTTATTCCTCCGGGGCTATGGGCCCAGACTCTGCCCTGCTCGGTCCTGTGTGTAGAGAAGCAGGAGGAAGAGCCGTTACGCTCAGGAGCTTTGTGTGACCTCTGTGGGTAAGGTTTGGTATGGCTTTCATGTATGTGGTGTCCCTCCATTTCCAATCAGCACAACTTCCCCAAGAGCCAAACCCCTGTAAGGATGAGAAGGAACAGCTTTACGCCTCTGTCCAGTTCGAACACAATAAGGCGTCCAAGAAATTACAGTGTTGGGAGCCGGCCCCTCAAGCCCCTCAGCCCTCTCCGTGCCCTGGACATGCAAGAAGGGACGGACCAGCCGAAGACCCAAGTCAGCATCCCGGTGGTGTAACTGTGTGTCTCCCTCCAGCCTTGGCCTCTTGCCCTTGCCACTAATCAACAAGAAGTCATTTAACTTGACCCTACTCCCGTCCCGACCTTAATCTGAACGTGGAATACGAGCTCATGCGTGTGCAGAGCAGCCGTAGCCATTCTCTAGTGTAAACACCTCAGCCGGGGGCAAGATGGCAAGTTGGGTCTTTTCAGGACAGGTTCCCAGATGGGATGGTCTGAAGGAAGAGGAGCCAAGCATGAGTCATGGACTTGGTTCTTCTGTCTCCTCATGTCTGACCCACTAATGTCTCTGTGAGGTGTGTGTGTGTGGGTGGGTGGGTGGGTGGGGTGGGGGGGAGTAGCTTGGGAGGGAGTGCTGAATAGAGGGGGATAAAAAAAAACCCATTTGTCCTTCACCCGTGTCCTTTTACTCTGTCCGTACACTCCTTACTTAACTCCGTGTCTTACAGCTTCTCTTTGGGTTGTCTGGTGTGGTGCATGGCTTTGTGGTGTCTTAAAGGAGCGGATGGTTGATAGGGGTCTAAGCCCCATTGATGCTGTGGGTCTGCAGGTGGGTCTGGATGGGCACCGGGAGTCTTTCCCTTCCCTTCTCCCTTCCTCTCCAGCCAGGTCCAGGAGGGGTCAGCCCAGGCTACAGATCATCCACAGAAAGCCCTGGAGGTTGCAAGTGGACATAGGGTGAGAGCTCTTGCCTCCTTTCCTGAGAAACAGTCCGAAGTTGTTGCTGCCCTGGGGAGCTGGCTCTAAGGATGTGGACATGTTTTGGTTCGTGTTACTAACTGGAGGAACCAGACAGTCCTTTGCTGGTGTGGAGTGGGCTGGGGGTGGGGTGAAGTCCAGATCTTACAGAGTCACAGTTCAGACTTCTGGTCCTGTGGCACTCAGTTTCTTCGAATTCCAGTAGCTTTCCTGCAGCCCATGGTCTTTGGGGCTGTTTAAAATCATCCCATCTACCATGGAGCCCTGAATTTCTCCAGGCAAAAGGCATCAGTAAATTCAGTAAAGCTGCTCATCATTCACCAATACTTTTTAGAATAATTTCCTTAAGCTAAGTTTTTACATGAAAAATTATTTTTTGAGCATCAAAGTTTTGATAATGAATTTAGCCTCTTATTGGGGCATTTTGTTGGTATTGGGAAGCTATCTCAGTATTCCAAGGGGGTCTCCTGAAGTTTGGCTCTTGGAAGTTTCTATGTGTCTATTACTTGCTTAAAAGGGATTCTCTCTGCCTTGGCCTGGGGCCTTGTCTGCTGAGCTCAGTACCAGTTCATCTGTGTACACTTTCCTAAGGGACAGATCTAAAGGTCTCCTGAGATTTTTCAGAAGAGACAGGGGATTCCCTACCTCTCAGCTGGTTGTGTGGGGCCAGCTGGTGAGAGAAAATTAGCAGTTTCCTGAGACTTTGTCTTGTGATAGAAAGCTTTTTGAAGGATTCTTATCCGAAACAGTCTTTAGACTGTGCTGTAGAATTTTTGAAATATGTGCATGCCTGGGTCCCCTTGAGTCAGGTTGAGTACTGCTTCAAAATCTCTGGGTTTGGAGCCTAGATATGTGGATGTTTAAATTACTTCCTTAGTGGTCAGTCCACTTAGTCAGTCCCAGGTTGAGAGGCTACTTGAGGGGCTGGGGGGATGTCTCAGCCGTTCAGAGCACATGCTGCTCTTCCAGAGGTCCAGACCTTGGTCCCTGGCATTCATGATGAGTGGCTTACAGCAAGCAGCCTGTAACTCCAGCTTCAGGGGATCTGGTGCTCTCTCCCTGGCTGTCCAGGTACTTCATATATGTAGCTTATATATACATAGACATATAAATACACATAAATCCCACTTTATTAAGCTGAATAGAAAAATGCCAATATATTGGTATCTTACACAAGAATGTATCAGACTGGAAATTGTGAATTCTTGGTTCTGATGCTAGAGCAGAGCACAGTTTTGAATGAGTTTCCTCCTCAAAGGCAAGCTGCTTTGTTAGAAAGGTGTTCTGGGTTCTAGTCCCATCTTTTACCTTGGTATCACAGAAGCATGAGCAGCACATTACTGACTTAAACACGTACATACCCTTGGATCCACACTGAGAATTTAGGCAAGGTGAAGGTACACAGAGGTAGAGCCTGATGGAGGTGGTCATCACAGGCGGCTGACTTCTGGCCTTGAGTCCTTTACCCATCCATCCTTTAGAGGCTGCCTGGATTCTTGAAACTCATCCAAGACAAAGACACTGGGAATTGCTGTTAGGCGCTGCTCCTTGTCCCCTCTGGACCTTTGTTTGTGGGCACTGGACTTGGTGAGGAAAACACATGCAGAGAGACAAAACAGAACAAACATTTCCCGTTTCCTTGCCCTGGATATTACAGACAGAACGACAACCAACCAACCCTTAGGAGGCCAGGCATGTATGCGTGTTAGGGCGGGCTAGCTGGGACTGGATAGCCTATGTGGGGAAGGCTTGTTCCTGGAGGAAACTGAGTCTCCTCTCTCAGCAGCCTTGATTGCCTGTGGCTCTTCATCTGGTGGAGGTTTTTATTCGTACACGTGTATACATGTATGCGAATGTAACAATTAACTAGAAGAGATTATGAACTTGAAAGAGAGTAGGGAAATGCTGGCAGAGTCGGACGGGGAACAGGATGTATAAGATACTAAAAATAAAGTTTAAAAAGACGGGAGATGTAATTGGTGAATGGATTATCAAAAGAATCAAACAGGCTAGGAGGGCTGACACTGGAGGAGAGGATAGCCTGTCTTCGGACTGTTTTCTTGCTCTATGCCTGTGAGACCCCAGAGGTTTGGGATGTCTTCTCCCACAGTGTGAGGATGAGATGTGGTCTAGGCGGTATGTCTGGCACTTTTACATGGTTCCTTTGTCTACTGTTTAGTTATTAGCATCTCTGGTCTAAATTGGCATTCAGTCCTTTCTTCTGCTGCCAGGTAAGGGTAATTCAGAGCTACTGAGTGGGAAGAGGAAGAACACTGGTCCAACAACTAAGGATCTAGGCTCCTAGAGGAGCCGTTGCTGACCACTTGAGCCAGCTTGTTGTAACTACCGTCTTCAGGGGTGGTTCCCTGGACCGTCATTCTGACTCTCTGTCCACTCCTCGCTCTCCCGGCCTCCCTGTTAGTTCACTCCTGGTGTAAGAAGAGCTGGGGAAGTCTTGTTATCCCTGGATAACAAGGAGTGGAAGTTGGAGCTGAAAAGCAGCAGGGTTTCAGCATCCTTCACCTTTTAGAGCAAGATCCTTCGGAGGAGCTGAGCAGGAGAAGCAGGAAAAGAGTGGAAAGTGCCCTTACTCCAGAGCTGAGGGAAGTCCCACTTCTCATCTCTCCCCCTTGTTACTTAGGGGTGGGAGATGACCCTGCTGTGCCTGTGTCTGTATCACAAGCCCTGTATCGAGGCTTTCAGTTTTGCTGTGGAGGGAATAGGTGAAGGCTTGAATCTACCTGTGTAAAATGGAAGAGAAAGTAATAGTCTGTATTTATTTATTTAATTAGTTAGTTATTTATTTTTAAACTCAAAGCTGAATGGAAGTTGAAACCCCAAAGAATGGTGGGAGTTGTAGCTTGGTGGTAGAGTACTTGCCTAGCATGGAGGAGGCCCTGGGTTCAATCCCCAGCCCTGGGGAAAACAAAACAAAACAAACAAACAAACAAAACAAAAAACACTGAGTGATAAAGTCAGGAAATGGATTTGAGAGAGAAATCTAAAAGAGAGTTAAAGAACCGCTACTGTCCTGTCTTGTTTCCAAACTAAAATTTAGCGCTTACTGATCATTGATGTAGGACCTTTTCTCTTGGTAAAGGAATCATTTCATGATTTTTAGACAGGCGTTGTGCTATGTGTGTGTCACTCTTCCTGGTTCCTAAGGAGTCAGTTAGGGATGCAGCATGTTCGGGTTCCTAGACCATCAAATGGTTGAACATTTCAGGCAAGGAGCTGAGTAACCCTCTTTGAAAACCACAGTTGATCTCCAGGCCCCTCATTTGAGAAAACAGTGTGATTGTTAGGGAATAAGCCTGCCTGATGATTCTTCTGGGACGGCTGTGATCTGAGTTCCAGAGAAGCTCTTTAGTGTTTGGAGTGGCCAGTGAATGGGGAAGCGCGTCAGGTGCCTGAGGCAGCTCCTAGTGATGGGGTTTCACGCACATCCCCCTGCCCTTGCTAGTCTCAGAAGAATGTTCTGTTTGTAGAAGTTTTAGTAAATTACCCAGTTTTCCTTGTATTCATTTTTACTTGTTTGTGTTTTAAAGCATTTTTATTTTAAAACTATGTAGCAGTTGAGCCAGGTAGCGGGACTGCTGTGCAAGATCTCCACTTTTCCCTAGAGGTGATGGACACACATCAGAAGTGTGGCCGAGAGTTTCGTTTTATAGTGTCCAGAAGATGAGAGGTCTGTCTGCCAACTGTCTCTCATTTCTCATTGTCCTGATTGGTAGTCTATTTACATCACTCTAATTCTTTACCTATTACACATGTCCTTCAAGAAAGGAACTGAATATTGTGCATGTTTCCTTTTTGGAGAAATTCGGTACACTATGACTTTTCATAGATAATTATTGTGTAATAGTGGCCAACTTCTCATTATTTTTTAAAAGATGATGTTGTAGGTGACTTGTATGGCATTTTGTGATCCTAGCTAAGGTAATGCTATAAGAGTTGAGACTTACGGAAGTCACAGTAACAATAAAGTTGTGACTTGACTTGAAGTTATTTCATCCAGTCCCCTGCTTCAGGGCAGGACTTCCTTTTTACCATTCATTTCTGAACCTAATGTCTCCTCACACTATGCTGTCATGTACTCTTACTGAGAATGCTGCTGTTTTTAGTCTGCTGTGTGTTTGGCCTTAATCTTACACAAAGGGAAATGTGCATCCAAAAACTGATCTCAAGAGTGACTCAGAGTATTTCTTTTCTTAAGCCTTTCACTGGGTGTGTGACTAATATTCATGTGACTCACTTTTTCAAGAAACTTCTGAATGGTGTGTATTTTGTTGTTGTTGTTGAGGCAACAAGGTCAACTTACTCAGATGTGGTGGCTTTTCTGTGGCAAAGGGCCTGTCACCAATGGGAAGTGTGACTCCTGAGCACTGCTGGTCTGGATTGGGGGTGTGTGATACAGAGGGCCGAGCGCTGCTGGTCTGGATTAACACTGGCTGAACTTAGGAAGCCCAATAACAGAATTTTATTGCAGATTTCTTAGGCACAGGTCTGCTGAACGTGGGGATGTCAATCCTTAGTAGCATTCTGATTTATTGTCGTGATAATTGATAATGAAATATTGCGTTGGGTCCATTTAAAGTGTATATAATTGTATTCAAAATGTGTTTTATGTGCATGTCTGTATAGAATGGGTTAATAAAGTTGTTGAGTAACTTGACCGTATCAGAAGGTTTCTGGTTTTATTACTATTATTATTATTATTTGGTTTGTATTCTGAGTTGTTCTTCCCATCTACTGTCATCTTAAACTGTCTCGTGCTAGACAAGCCGAGACTTAGCAAACCACTGGAAGTTCTCAGAATGCCTGGCGTCTTGGGCCGTGGGCATGGCTCTCTTCCACCCCCTTCTGGGGGAAGGTGGGAAGGACATTATTGGTCGTGCATCAACTTCAGTTGTCAATCACTTGCATCTTCTGGTACCTGTGCAAGAATTAAGAACTACAACAGACCACACTACACGGAGCTTCTGTTATCTATTATCTGTTATCTGTAAAGAAAAATTTGGGAGATCTTTCAAAATTTACCAGGCTGTTGTTTCTAAAATACATCCTGTCTGTTTCCAAACAGACTTCAGCCAATGGTATGAGATAGTACTCAACTTCTCCTGGAGCAGAAGATACCAGTGGGTATCCACTGTTCTCGTGCCTTATCCCACATTGCGCCAGCAAGGACTCAGAGCTCATTAGTAATTCAGAATCGAGGCTTCCTTCCAAACCTACTAAACCAGGATTTTAACCAGATCACTAGGTGATTGGATTCATAGGTACATTTAATACTTGAGAAACAAACTTTCTAAGGGAAAGAATTTCTTACAAGGTAAATGTTCAATACCAGTGCATGGGAAGAAGTTGATCTGCTCTGGCTACTGGTTTCAGGGTGGACTGAGGTAACCATAACAGTTGGGACTCTCCTCAGAAGCCCTATAGCATGTGACTTCATTGCTACTGTGTGTGTGTGTGTGTGTGTGTGTGTGTGTGTGTGTGTGTGTGTGTGGTCTCTTGGCTGATGTAGCCTGTATTACCACAGAGATCCAACCTATCTCTTCTTTGTATCTTAGATATGTAACTTACAGTCCAGTTCTGAAACAGACACATACCCTGTTATTGTCATAAGGTCAGCTTCTCTGGGAAAGAAGCCATTAAATGGCTAGGCCATTAATGTTTACCTGCGTCCCCAGGTCAAGGTGTGTGCAGGCATAGCAGTGTGTCCTCACGTGTGTGGATGTGGGGATGTGGTAGCGAACAGTTGGGGTTGGGGATGCATTCTCACTTTTCTCTGGGCATCTAGCTGTGGCATAATGGCTTTGCTTCTCTTTCTGACTCCTAGGAAGTGGATACTGTGCTGGCTGAGCATAGACGCCCCTCCATGGCATCCCTCACATTGCTCTCCTGATGGTGTGAGGCTGAGCCAGACCTCTCCGAGGAACTGGATCTACTAAAAAGCCTGGGATGCCAGCATCACTGAGGCTAGAACAGGAAATTAAGTGGGAACTTCTCATTTGAGGCTACCAAAAGTGAGGCCTGGAAAACCTTCATACGTTTCTTCCCTTCATGCCTACCCAGGATTATTACTACACTGTGCCTCAAAAATCTTTAACAGCCTGAACGAGTTAGTTCTTCTGTCTTTGGAGTTTGCAAATGCCGTTCTACTTAGGCGTTCAATATTCTACCTGTGACTGCCTGCATGGTTAGCTGGAGGTCTCCCTCACATGCGAATGCACTGCTCTAGAATCGGTTTCTAGGTGAGGATGAGCTTCAGGAAGCCCTTCCTGCTCAGTGAGAGCTGCTCCTCGAACCCGTTGGAGGTGAGCAGGCTGGAGTGCAGTCTGAGTACTAGCTGTTGCCTCGGGCAGTATGGGAAATGAGACCTACGACTAGGTAAATGGAGGGCGTCAGGAGCTCAGCTCTGAAGTGCCTCTTCCCTGGTGACAGAAGAATAGTATCCACAGCTCCCTTTTCAGTTAGAGAAGTTTTTCTTGTTCCATACTCTTTGGTGCAGGGTCTGGCTGCCAGACTTCCCCAAAGGGGACCAGCCTTGACCTTCGCTTGTAGCTAGTGTGTTTTCTCTCTGAGGCTTGTGCTGCACACAGCCGGAGAGGACTGATTCAGTGCCTCCCAAGGGGTTGAGAACGAAGGCTAGGTCGGACCATCTCCATCCCACCAGGAAATAAAGATGGCCTCTTGATAATAAATCAAGAGGCAGAGGCAGACATGGCCCTTGCATCTGTCTTGTTGATAGGGTGTCTGGGAAAGCTGTGGCTCTGACTGCAGGAGCAGTGGTCCTGTGATGGGGGCCTCTGCTCTAGCTGTCACTACCGCGATCAGCTGGTCTCCCGGAACACTTGACAGAGGGAGCATGGCCTCTATGCATCAGTGAGTGGATGCCCCTCCCAGATGAGTCAGATTGCTGTTCCTACATCACTGAGTGTCAAAAGTGTGCACACCGTCACTACGAATGCTCTACTATTGTGTTGTTCCTGAAGAAGAATGCAGAAGCCACAAAGTATATTTTACCTCCCAAGTAGAATCTGGTGTTTTTTTCATTTTGTTTTTGTTTGTTTCCTTTTCACTTGAAATGCTCACTTGTTGGGCAGAAAGATTGTAGCAAGAAAAGTCATGAAATACAGCTTTTTCTACATGGTTCTTTTATATATCGTGGACAATACTGGAGACGGTTACCTAAGCAGGAAGTGGTGAACTGCGGGCAGTTCAGTGTCTCCCACCTTGCGGCGTACTTTATATACATATCACCTGGAGGGAGGCTCCTTGCTCTGCTTAGTGTAGGGAATCTCCCTTGGCTGCCTGCAGCATGCTGTACTACAAGGCTTTTGTTCTTGTGGTCCAGGCCGATTTCTGTATTGAAGTACACTCCTTTCTGACGATCAGATGGTATTTTTATGAAGCTATTTATTGTGTGTGAGGATTTTGCATGTATTTAATCAGAATGTCATCTATGTTCTGTGTTCTGTTAGCTGTGTTAGGAGTCGAGCCGAATGTCCATAGTATCACCTTAGGTTAAACTTGTAGAGCATAAATACCTGTGTGTGTAAGAGAATGATAACTATGTTAGGATAGTGCATTTTTAACTTTTTTTTTCATTAATTTTATTATAAACCAAGAAATGTATTTCTCTGGAGAAAGTTCTCTCTTGGATAGTAAAACCATGCTGAAATATCTGAGTTATATAAACTGCTTTTGTAATAAAATAAAGTTATTTTTAATTAAAAGGTGCAATGAAATTTTCAATTCATATACAAAAAGACATCATTTGGTACATTACAGATGCACATAATATTAGTATTTTCCAAAATGTGCTTGAAAGTTTTGAAAGAACTGATTCTGAAGTTAGCAAGTGTTACCTGTTTCCAGCTGTTGGTATGACGATCAAGTCCCTCTAGCATTTCAAAGTCCGTGGCATTGCTACAGCCATGCCTTGTTACCAGTCTAGACATTCATTCATTGATGTACAAATATTTAATGACTGCCTCTTGATTGCCAGGTAACGACTCAATCCAGTTCTGGGAAGCCACAGACAAGTAGGTTAAATGTACCTTCTTAAGTTGGGGGATGGTATTAATAGCCTTGGAGGCTTTTGAAGAGGGGCCCTTCCCTCCTGGTGGCCTTTTGAGCCCATTTCTTGCTTCTTTGGTAACACTAGAAAGGCAAGCACCATAGGATTTAAATTACTGTAGGAAAAGGCAAAGTCCTTGTTGAGCTCTATTAAGGTAAGACTACTTCCTCCTGCTCAAAAACGCAGGGTCTAAGTTTTACCTCTGTTCCTGGGTGGAGAGCTGACATTCTAAGCCTCTCAAAACGTACTAATTTTTTTTTTTAAGAGTTAACCAGCTGGACCGGTCAATCACCTGGCCAGAATCCCGCCACTCCCTCACCCCGTCACCCAGGGAAATCTGATTTGCTTGATGCTATGTTAAGGAGAGGAAAGAATAATTAATGAAATCGGGCAGCATCCAGGAAGAGGTAGCTGTGAAGCGATAATGAGGAGAAGCTTCTCCTTCAGGCAGAGAGTGCTTCCCTCGGTCAACACTGCAGAGGCCCTCTGCTTTCAGATACACCTTTCCCTTCCTTCTTTTTTCCAAATCAGCCCAAAGTAGAAGCTTGCTTTCCCAGGCACTCTGGGATTTCTCATTCTTTCTCTGAAGTACCTTCACCCCTGGTCCCAACGCGGCTGCCTGCCAACCTCCATTGCATACTACATGGCTTTATTTCCTCCTCTTCACCACCTCGCTCCTCATGGCAGCTGCCAGGGTTTGCAGCCTTGCCTGCTCTCTTGTTCTTTCCTTCAAACTCTAATAAAGTCATTCACAAGTTTCCTTCTGACTCTGTTTTAAAATTCTTTTATCAACTAGATTAAGCATCCAAAAAGAAATTCTTAGTTTCCTGGTACTACTCGAACTTCCGGTCTTCAGTACTGAGCATGGACCTGAGGTGGCTAATGTAGAAACTGATCTGGTATGGATGAATGGACTGAGGCATTCAAAACAAGACCGCTTTGGCTCACAGAAGGCTTGGCTCAGAGCGAGGCCACTGCTGCCTCCAAGGAAGACCGCTATCAGAGTTATTGACAATGAACTCTAGCTATAAAATGTGGGTGCCTGCTCGGGACAGGTGGTTGTGTTGAGCTATTTCTGATTCAAGGGTGAAGACTATCATTGCTTCTAACACTACTTCACTTTTCCAGAACACTGTAACATTGAAACACTGGCTGGCTGCCCATGGAACTCCTACCACCAGATCAAAGCAGCCCCTTCAGTGGCCTCTGGGTAGACTTGGCCTCTCTAGTGTCTTTCCCACTGAGGTGGTACTGAAGTCTGTCTGATAAACTCAGCTTCTGCCTCGGTGTCATTGGTGCGCTCATTCCCAGCTTACGTTATCTTCCCTGCCTGTCAGTACTATTCCTGGCACAGAAGAGGATTTAGAAAAGGAGGGAGGAGGTGACACCATTGATCAGCACCCCGTCTTCAGCCCCCAGACCTGGAGAGAGCTGTAGGCAGTGGACTGTAAACACTGGCAAATATTGACAGACGTCAAGGTCGTGGAGGACCATTTGGCCCATGCCTGTTGGGGAAGGATAAACCTGCAGTTTAACGCGACTGGTCAGCTGGTTTGCATTTCTAGAAACTGGGAAATTTCTTAAAATTTTAAATCTGGCAGCTCTTTAATCATTGTTTGCGGTTGCAGAGCCACGGACTACACTGTCTTCTTTCTGCTGTTCTTCCCTGTTACAGGAAGGGCTTTTCTTTTTCACATTTGTTCCAGGAGGAAAATAGAACTACTCTAGAAGGAAGTTGTTCTGATCCTAAGTGGTTAGAAGGGCTTTTGATCGAAATCACGGTTTAATTTCACTCTGGTTCAAGTAACTGCTCGCCAAATGCTTTGTTGGGTTGTGTGCTGTCTGATGTGGCTGATTTCTGCCTTAGAGGGTAAGTGTGATTTCCTTACAAGATATTTCATGTCAATTTGTGGTTTAAGAGGCATTCTGTATACAGTTTTAATGAAATTTACATTTATAATATTTATTAAAAGTTCTCAATTATGGTATATGCTCTATACTCATTGGGGACCTGGTGTATATTAGTGTTGATCTTGCTTCTTCTGATGGGTGGTCATTGCTGATTTTCTCTTTTTATTCTGGAACCCCAAAAAGTGACAATTTCAAAATCCTGAGACGCCAACTATTGGAAACTCTAGGACTGATACTTGGGAAGGAATTACTTGTTCAGGAATGGATAACTCGTGGTTGAGTTTGACTACAGTGCCTATGATCTGCTTGGAAACCTAACTTCAGAAATTCTTGGAGAATGAGGATTGGGATGTACATGCAATGGGAGAGAGAGGACACGGTGTGAGGATTAGTCCCCCAGAGACTTGGCGGGAGGAATCCAGTGGGGTGCCCACACAGCCAGTGATACGCCAAATGATTCTGTTCTCTGTTTTCTTTCTAACAGAGAGCTGTTCGGAACTTCCTCCAGTGGACAACAGTGTGTTTGTTGCAAAGGAAGAAGAAGGACAGATTATGGGGGTGTACCTTTGTATCAGAGGCTACCACCTGGTGGGAGAACAGACTTTGGCCCTCAGTCTCTCAGAGGAGTGGGAGGGTCCCTCCCCTGAGTGCCGCTGTGAGTTTGGTTTTTCTGTTCATATCGACTTCTCCTATATTCTATTATATCCTGCTTCCTGTAGGCCATGTTAAAATTACAAAAACAAACAAACAACTAAAAACAACTCAATTTCTAAGAAGCTATTCTCCATCTCTCCCAGGTGCTTCAGAGACAGGATCTTGCTACAGTAGCCCATCATGTTGGCCTGGAATTTGATATGTAGCCCCTAGTGACCTGGAACTTAAAACCTCTCTGCCAGTGCTGGGATTCCAGGCACATTACCCATGCCTGTCCATCATGTTACTTTTAAATTAGGAGAAACTGTATTCTCAATTTACATATCTGATAAGTGAGATTAAAGCGGCTTGCTCCAGGTGGCAAAGCTCATTATGTTATCTTATCTTCTATGATGACAGAGCATAATTCTTCCAGATCATTTTGTTATTATACTTTCTAATAAGTTGTGTTAATTTTATGTATACATAACATTTTGAAGTTTTTTTCCATATGAAAAAATTTACATCCCTCTCCATTGACCCCTGATTTTCAACAAGAAAGAAATAATTAAAATTTATATATGAAAAAACAAAGTAAGACATGAGTAAGTGTATATTTGGCTACATGGAAGAAAAGGAAAGCTTGAAACATAGGCTTAAGATATTTGAACAAAGTTCACCGTAGCAGTATAGTGAACATGCTGCTGGTAATAACTAGTTACGTCCTTCATTATGTGTAGTCCAGTTGTCAATCATATCATTCTTATGCAGAACCATGTTTGTAACACTATTCCATGAAAAATGTCTACCATTCCAGATAGAGAATTAATAACAGACCAAAGTTAAGGATACTGCCCAAGTCCAGCTTGGTGAATCAGTGAGTTTATTGGGGTTATTTACGGAACTATGGGTGAGGGCTTACTTACAGGAGCAGGAATGACTCAAAGATGGCCGGCCGCATTACCAAAAGCCCACCCCAGCATTTATGATGGCTCACAAAAGCTGGGAACCTGCAGCCCTCTGTACAACTTGCAGGCAAGCTAAACAGGCTGAAAAATCTCTTCCAGGCCACTCAGCTGGTCTGAGCAGCTCCCAGCAGTCCTTGTTGTTTGTGTAACCTTAGGGAGGGAAGAACCTTGTGAATCTAGTCAGATTCAGGAAGTTCCTGAGGCTTCTTAAAACTCCTGTTTTCTTGTGGAGTCTTTTCCCTTTAGAACTTCCAGAGTCTTAATGAGCCTTCTTTTGAAGGTCATAAGTCTCAAGGAGCTTTGGAGGAAATTTCCACACAATAGACCCCATTCCCTTTTGTCCACTGTTGTGGTACCTTGGACTTTTCTCATCCTGCATGGGTACGGTTTGATAATATATACCTATCCTTTTAGATATATGTGCACCATTAAGTACCGAGTTACTATTATCTTTCTGAAGCTTGGGGAAGCGTGACTTTTACTTCACTCTAGCCTCTTGACTGTTCTCTTCTCCAGTGGGCCACTGTCCCGAGCCTGTACTGGAAAATGGCAGGATCAATTATTCTGGGCCTGTGAATGCAGGTGACAAAATCATGTTTAAGTGCAATGATGGTTACATCCTCAAGGGAAGCAATTGGAGCCAGTGCCTAGAGGACCACACCTGGGCACCTTCCTTGCCCATATGCCAAAGTAGTAAGTACTGATTAGTATTGTCACTCTGGGGTAAAATTGCTTTTGGGGGCCATATTAGTGTATAAACCAGAATAAAACCTTCACCTCCTGTCTTATGGATTTCTTTTCCTTCCCCTATGACACACATTTTCTTTGTTCCTTTCTTCCTCTTTTCTCCCCTCCTCTCCCAACTTCTGATCCTCCTGCCTCCACTTCAGGAGTGCCACCGTTCCTGTTATCCGGCGCTGGTGCTTGAACCCAGGGCTTCATGCATGCAAGGCAGACACTCTACCAGCTGAGCCACAGCTTCCACCCTAATTTGCCTTCTTTTGCAAGATAAGTTGGCAGCCCTATAGTGTGTAGCTCTGTTCCTGGAGCTCTGCCAGTCAGAAAGGATTCCCGGCTCCTTGTAACTCTTATAACTCAGGGGATGAGCTGGGGAAAGAGTCTTTTCCATGGACAATGCTGATTTTCATGAGAAAGAGTGGATGGAGAGCATGCTCCCGGCTCTTACTTGTACCAACGTGAAGATGGCGGGCCATAGAGTATGCACAGTGCACTATCCTGTCGATTGTACCCGGCTCTCACTTGTACCAACGTGAAGATGGCGGACTGCAGAGCACACACAGTGCACTATCCTGTCGATTGTACCCCGCTCCCACAAATCTCACTCCAGGCCATCTTCCCCTTAGGAGACTGTGACCCCCCTGAGATTCCTAGCCATGGCTACTTTGAAGGAGAGTCTTTCACTTCGGGATCTGTTGTTACTTATTACTGTGAAGACAGGTAAGCTTAGAGTAGTACCCTTCGTGTCCTAGTTGGAGCAGTTACTTTCCTATGGCTGTGATAAAACACCACAGCCAAGACAACGTGCAGAAGGGAGGGTTGATTTGGGTCGATGGTTCCTGGGGGATAAGAGTCCACGACTCTCAGGACAGGGAGCGTGGCAGCAGGTGCAGGGTGCCTGGAGCAGCGAGCCTAGGGCTCACATCTTTAACTGCAAGCACTCAGCAGAGAGCATGAACTCAAGTGGCATGAGTCTTTAAATTCTCATAGCAACCCCTCTAGTGACACACTTCCTGCAACAAGGGTGTCCCTCCCCGAGCAGTGCCACTCACTAGGAATGAAGAGTTCAAGGGCTGGAGACTGGGGGGGGGGACTTCTTCTTCAGACCACCACACTAGTGAAAGTATTCTATTTGATGGTTAATGGGGTATCCACACTGTTGGAGTTCTCTTCTGACGGAGAATGTGCTATCTACGTATCTAAGATATTCTCACTTATTCTAACTGCTACAGTTATCAGTGCTGTACCCGACTGTGGGTGGGGCTATAACTATCATATCTAGCCTCCAGTGGGTAAGTGGTCAGTACCTTGACAACAGCTTCTAGGTCAATGGGTTTTGTGGCTATTAAGACTTCGTAAGTAGTACACCCTTACTTTTCCAACAGATAATGCATGGATAGCACCTTATCATGTGTGAACTATCTACATAGCCTGGACGTGGTCCACAGCTGGTTTTGCTTCCTTGAACACCATGGAATGAGCTGACTGTCCCATACCTTCCTTTGTATTTGAACTGTAGAATAGCCTTAAGTGGGAGGGGCCAGACATGGGATGGAAGCCCTTTAGTATCAAATTAGCCCTGCATATTTCTGTGTTCTCTTACCCATGTAGAAAAGGAGGAAAGCCTGTGCCTTGTCTGTCATATTTGTGGCAATACTTTCATTTTATGGTAACAGACAACACTCAAGTATTTCATAAACAATCCAGGTCTTTGGACCTTGTTTGGATTAATGTCTCCTCAGTGTAATGCAATATTTGAACAGTTGTTGGTTCCAGTCCATTCCGCTAGGTCAGATATTGTTATCCCATGGCATATTGTGAGGCTGTGTAAATAACCCTGGAGAACCATGGTGAAAGTCCACTGATGGCTTTCCCAGATGAAAGGCGAAACATTCTTGCCTTTCAACTACTATATCAGAGCTGAAGAAATCACTGGACAAATCCAGTACCTAGAACATCATGGTGATGGCCCAGTTGTATTTCCGAGACTTTAACAGTGTTAAGTATAGCCAAATACAACTTATTTACTATTCCCAGTAACCAGCTGTCTTAAGCTATGTCCTATCAGGCCTTTGGATAAGGGATGACAACAAATTAAAGGGATTACACACAAGCATTGTGATGTTTACCTTTCCCAGTTCATGGATTGTTTCTGTGATCTCTTGGTGCTCCCCCATACCTTTAGAAAGTACTGGTATATGGCCTTGGCGCCGGTGGAGTCACCGGTATGGTCTCTGGAGATTGACTTTATGGCCAAGACATGTTTGTTTGTCATGCACCTTTCCCCATCATATGTCTACTCTCACAATGTGTTCAGGGGTTATGGCATAGACCTTTGGGGGCATGTGCCCCAGACTCAAAGTGAGAACTGGGACTCTTTGTCCACCAGAGTTCTCAGTTCCTGCTAAGTGGTTCTTAAGCTCCTCTGGAGTTCCGGATCTGTGTATTTGTGGCACCTGGAGCTGTCTGCATTGTGACCCTTTCTGTGTTACAGGGACCAATATGTAGCCAACTCTGTATGAGGAGTCTGTTTCAGGGACGTGGAGCCTGGGAACAAGTGTCTATTCACTGTTTTCTCCAGAACCACAGGCTCACTGTACTGTCTGGCTCAGGGGAAGCCGTGTTTCTCATGGCATTTCCAACTGGAGGATGGGCCCGGATTTTCCCTTTTATTCCCCCCCACACACACACACACAAGTGCCTGTTCTGGAGTTCTAAAGGTACACACTGTCTTTTCAGGAATAGGAGTTGGAGTCTTTTCTTAAGGGAGTGATTTCCAAAGTTTTATTGTCCAAATTTGGCTGCTTGACTGTTTTTTAAAAAAATGTATTATTGCCTGACAATTTCATATATGTAAATAATATATTTTGGTCATTTTCATGTCCCCCCCCATTGCCTCCTTTCACTCATCTCTCACCCGATTCCACCAAATTCCTTCTTTCCAACAAGTTTCCCTCACATTCCTGTTGTGTCGGGGGACACCCACCGAGTTTAACTGGGGCGCTTGCATTGGGGAGGCTCCCTGGGCCACCCTGCATTACTCTCACCATTTCTGTATTTACTTATTCCGAGTACAGCACACCCCTGTAGTTTGTCTTTGTCTCCACCAAGTCTGTCACCATCCGCGCCTTCTGGTATTATTGGCATAGCCCAGCAACCTTATGGATATCAGGGCTCAGACCTGACTGGAGGTACCCAGTGCAAGATGACATCTCTCCTCTCCACTGTACACGTCATTGTAAGCACCAGAAAAAGCCGCAACACACATTGAGTGCTTCATTCCAATATGACTGCAGTTTCTCCGTGGGTGTCTATATTTCACTTGGCACGGGGCTGTCTTTAGAGCTGGACCAAGGATGTCTAGTGACAGTCGCTAACCGTGCCGCCCGTACTCCACATTCCCTTGTGGTGGCTGACTGTAACAGCTGCTGCAGTCCTGGGGAGAGGCCACCAGCCTTCTTGTCCCACAGTCCCAGTAGCAGGCACACACTCTGTTTTTGCTTGGACTTGCCTCTCAGTTCCACTACCTCTAGAGGAGTGGAGGGGTGTCTTAGGGGGAGGCAGGCAGATACTGTGAGTCGTTATCGTCAGGGGATCTCCATGTTAGGTCTTCTGTGTCTTGGTAGAGTCTGCTGCAGAATTATACTTGTGAACGCTCATCTGCCAGCTCGAGCTTCTTTGCTGAAGTTTCTTTGTTGTTGATTTATGCCACTCTGGTGTCTCTTTCTAACTTTAGTTCTCCCTATGGTCTTTCCACTCATGAGCCCGTGTTATTTCCTTCTTTAAACCTATTTATTTATTTATTTATTTATTTATTTATTTATTTATTTATTTATTTATTTATTTTGGTTTTTCGAGACAGGGTTTCTCTGTATAACAGCCCTGGCTGTCCTGGATCTCGCTCTGTAGACCAGACTGGCCTCAAACTCACAGAGATCCGCCAGCCTCTGCCTCCAAGTGTTGGGATTAAAGGCGTGAGCCACCACTGCCTGGCAAATTTTATTTATTTTTATTTTATGAACATTAGTGTTTTGCCTGCATGTATGTCTGTGTGAGGTGGTCGGGTCCCCTGGAACCGGAGTTACAGTGTTGAGCTTCCATGTGGGTGCTGGGAATTGAACCCAGGTCCTTTGGAAGAGCAGTCAGTGCTCTTAACCTTAGAGCCATCTCTCCATCCTGTTATTTCCTTCTCAATGGCTTCTTTGAGCCAGAATGATTGTCTCGCATTGGCAGCAGTGGCCACTCAGTTTTCCCACACTGATTTGTTTCTTGCCTTCAACTTGGCTAGCAATCTTTCTTGGACTTTTGAGGCATACACGTACTCACAGGGTGCTTCCCACAAGTCACAGAATGGGGACACATCAAATCACATAGGTGGCTGAGGCCAGCCTAGGATTTCCCTGGCAGAACCCATGTCCACACCCAGAGTTTGCTCATACCCAGAATTCCCTCTTGGAATTCTGCTGACAAGGCCAGTTTTATGAAAAACTGGAAGGCCTCAGAGGCTTTAGGAGTGACAACTATTTGAAGATACCTAAGGAAGAAATCAGAGGACTCCATGGGAGTTTGGACATCTTTCATTATCAAGCAATCCTTGGTAGCATCAGGCCAGAAAACAGGGATCTGCACCATGTTTACAAGCAGAGCAGCATCTATATGCAGAGGGAACAGAGGGAAACTGGATCCTAGTACTCAACGCAGCAGTTACGACCTTCTCATGGGCCTGGTCTGCTTGTCTACCAGGCCTTATCTTCCTTCTCTGTTTTCCTGTCTTCAAAGGAGAGCAATGGCCAGCAAACCCCGCCCCCTCCATCAACAGGTGTGGCTACAGTCCGCAGAACATCTGCAAGAATGGGGTTGTCTAACTGCCTCAGATACAAATAATGAAATATTTCTCACGAAATCCAAGAGCAGAAACCTTAGACAAAAAAATCAGAAATGTAATGATTTAGAGTTTGGACCCTTAAAGCATTGTGATAAGGACTAACCCTCCTTCAGATGGACTGGTCTCCTTCCTTGATGGGTTCCCGCCCTTCTTTCCCTTGCTTTAATCTGGGTCATGTACCTTCTTCAGCCTTTAAGTTCCACTTGTCAGTTTGGAATGACCTTTTGCTTTTTTCTGATCACACACTACTGCCTTCATTTATCCCGTTCACCTGCACCTGCATTTTAGAGCTTAATGCAGATGCCTGTTTAGCTTGTGATTGGTCAAACACTTCTTCCCTCACCTGTCCCCCCAAAACACACTGGCTCTGAAGTTTTTGCTTTCCGCCGTGTTAATCTGGGTTGACTCATCCCTTGGGTCTGCCCACCATTTCAGGAGAGCTGTTTCGCTTCATAGCTGTTTTGTTAGAATGAGATAACTTAAGCATACACTAAGGCTCGGGGGCAGGAAGGTGGATTTGATCACAGATTGAAACACTGAAATACAGCTATACAAAACTAGTCTCCATTGCTTAGCTTTGAAGACGCAGAGGCTAAGCGTTGTTCTGACATCTCCAGGTACCGTTTAGTGGGCACACAGAAGCTACAATGCATTGATGGAGAGTGGAGCAGTTCCTGTCCTACCTGTGAGCCTGTTCAGGAAGCCCCAAGACCTGCTGAACAGATTGCACTTGAGAAAGCAATTGTAAGTAGAGGCTGTTATCCGTTTTGTTCTTAGCTGCAGTCTCGGGCCCGAATTTACTCTTGGCATATGCGTAGTGGATATCTGTTCATTTCTGGATAATGTTTTTGAATGGGTAACCTTGACCTGGTTGCAGAAGGGGCCTTATAAAATGCCAACCCACATTCCTAGATAACATTCACATTCATCACCATCATCACAAACACCTCACAAAACCTTCTTACGGGACGGATTGCCTCATTCAGCGTATAAAAGAAGGTATATAATTACTCAGTGCCTGGGATCTGGAAGTACTGGCCTCTGTGAGAAGCTGATCCAATTCTAGGTTCCAACACATTCTGAACACATTTGTTTTCCTTCGGACTCACTTTGGCCTGTATTTATTCTTGGAGAAATATTAGTGATTATATATTTAAACCAGAAAATGTAAATGACTGATGATGTTGAAGGCCAAGACCCATGGGGAAGTTCCCTGGGCTGGCAGCTTCGTGGTTTCAGAGTAGAGAACTGAATCTCTGCTCCCCGGTTGTAACTTGAAAGGTTTTTCTTCCCTTAGCTTGCCTTTCGGGAGATTAAGGACCTTTGTGGTGCCACAGAGAGTTTTGTGAGAAGACTGAAGGAAAGCGGACTAACCATGGAAGAAGTGAAGTATTCCCTGGAGATGAAGAAAACTAAGCTGAAGGCAGACATTTTACTGAAATATCATAGCTAAGCAAGATGGAAACAGAAATACCCTGTGAATAAACAGCTTCTGAAGGTGCTTACAGGTCGTTCCTTACTAAGCTGAAATGCAAGGTCATGTGGCCATACAACTGATGTATTGTGTACGCTTTGGGGGCATGTGTGGGAATTTTACTAAGAATGTAGAAGGGCCAGCTATGGTGGTTATCGGCTTCAGACCAGCATTGGCAACATGCTAATGGAGAATGTAGAGATTCATTCTTTGGCTGTATGGGAAATAAGAAACCGTGCATCTGGTCTGAAGGTACCTCACATGAGACATGAATTGTAAGTCAAAATTTTCTGAGATAGGAACTAACCCTTCAATCTGGAAAAAATATGCTTAACAACAATTACATCTTTAAAGTTACCTACTGAGTCCCATACACCTCTCAAGCACTAAAGATTATTGCCAGTGCTATTGATTATTCTGACAACTTGATAGTTAAGTCCCTATTGCTGATGACACCACATACTTAGGACTTACTACATGGAGAAATCTTATCTGGTATTCAACTGGAAGTTTCATCCCTTCTGGGTAGTATTCATAGTGCTCGAAGGTTCTATACATGCTACCGGAGGAGAAAAGTAATCATTAATTACCTTCAGCTATGACCCTGCAAGCTGTAATAATGATCCACATACAAGAGATGCCCATTGGTGCAAAAGTGGTACAAATGTTAGGGGATAACCAACCACTTTTTGATTGGCTTCAAGGCCTTCTTCGTGAGATGGAACCCATCCCCGACACCATGTAAGTGGCCAAGACCTTGAGACTAGAGAGGTCCTAGGTCCTAGGTCCTCAGGGAAATGCACCACTATGATTCTGCAAAAGGAACACAACAGTAAGATGACTCCTAATGACATACTGCTCTATCCAAGTATCAGTGCATCACTCAACACTCATCAGAGGAGCTCCTTCTTGCGGTAGGTGATAATTTAGACAGAGACAACTGGACAACATGCAGAGTAGAGACTTTGGAATTGCTCAGCTCTGAATGGGATATTTTTATCACACCACGACCCTTAAAACTTGGAGTTATGCAGAAGAGAGGGTGGGAATATTTAAAAGCTAGAAGTAGTCGATGACTTTAAGGATACAGCTTTTCCCAGACACAACAGGAAAGATGCTCATGTGAACTCACAGAGACTGTGACAGAATGCCAAGACCTGCACCAACTCAAGCAGGAAAAAGTCCCAGCACGGACGACAGGAAGTGGCCATGGCCCTGCCCCTAGCTAGTCAGCTATTCTCAACTAATAGCTGCTGGGAAAGGGAATATCACTTCTCTTCAATGGATAACACTGGTGTATCGGCCACATTCCATGGCAGGCCCCATGTTCAGGGACAGTTAGTCAACACAAATCAAATTCTTTTTGTTTTTAGAGATAGGGTTTCTCTGGTGTAGCCCTGGTTGTCCTGGAATTCTCTCTATACTCCAATCTGGCCTTGAATTCACAGAGAGCTACCTGCTTCTGTAGACAAATTTCTAAATGGTCTTATTAAATAAAAAGCACAGAGCCAGATATAGGGGTGAAAACCTGAGAGATCAGGGAAATAGGGAAAGCCACAGCTAACCTTACCTCACCAACTCTGCAGCTTCCAATAGCAAGTGATTTCCTGTCTACCCATGTCTATATGCCTTGCTGTTCTGCCATCTGATTTGCTCTCTCTGTCCAGCTACATCACTTCTTCTTCCTGCCCAGCTCTGTCACTTCCTGTCCATCTGTACAGACCTCCAGACCTCCATGGTTAACTAGTGTTGGAATTTAAGGCATGTGCCACCATGCCTGGCTCTGTTCCCCGGGTGGCCTTAAACACACAGAGATGCAGACAGATCCCTGTCTGCCAAGTGATAGGATTAAAGTTGTGTGCTACCATTGCCTGACTTCTATATAGTGACTGGCTTTTGCCTCTGATCCTCAGGTAAATTTTGTTGGAAGACACAGTATGTTGAGGGACACAATACATCACCACATGATTCTGCTTCATGAGGGCTGAGATGGAAATTGTGTGCCTCTATGGCCTGGCACTTTTTTTTTTTTAAAAAAAAAAAAAGAGAAAGAACATGAAGTCTTGTGGGTGGGGGGAATTAGGAGCTGGAGGATGGGAAAATACTATAAAAATATACCATGTGAAATTCTCAAAGAATTATTAAGAACACTAAAATGTTTCCAACAAAATAAAATAAGTAAAATGACTCATTGTGACAGAAGTTGAATTAGGCTCCAGACTCTTCTCTACACCTGGTTTATGAAGCCAGGTTTCTAAACCTTATGTGATAATATTGTTACTGCCTTTTGAATAACTCAAAAGCAGGGTAGGGGTGGCGCATGCCTTTAATCCTAGCTCACGGGAGGCAGAGGCAGGCAGATCTCTGTGAGTTCGAGGCCAGCCTGGTCTACACAGTTGAGTTCCAGGAGAGGCTCCAAAACTACATGGAAAAACCCTGTCTCAAAAAAAAAAAAAAAAAAAAAAAAAAAAAAAAAAAAAAGATGACTCCCAGCCCCTCATCACCATGTGAAGCAAGAACCTAATTAGTCCTATCAATAAAAACCAGGAGTCAGATATCATGGTAGTAATAATCTGAAAGTTCAGAGAAGCAGAGGAGCAGCTACCAGTGACTTCTTACCTCTCCAGATCCTGTCCCCTCCTCACCTTATCACTTCCTCTCTCCGCCTCCTGCGTTGAGATTAAAGATTTAAGTGTGTGCCACCACTGCCTGGCCTCTATGGTTAACTAGTGGCTGGCTCCACCTTCTGATCTCCAGGCAAGCTGTATTTGTCAGAACACAAACTATACACAATGACAACCCTTTGGTTTGGGATGGTGCAGTAACATGAGTGCATTTTCTTCTCATACAGGAAAGATACAGGAACCCGAAGGCTTGCCTAAGGCACTTTAATGTCTTAAAGTGAAGTTTTGATATGCTTTTTTTTCAGAAAGGGCCGCTGAGATGCAAGAAACATGGAACGTGTTTAGGCAATAGCATGTAACTTGGGTTGGCTTGAATGAAACACAAGCAATGGTGAAGGATAGGAAGGTTGCTTAAATCCAGCCAACAGAGAGTTTTAAAACGTCTGCCCGAGAACTTGCACTTCGTTTGTTAGGCAGGGCACACATGGCTTTCAAGGAGTGAGATGAGAACAACACAGAGAATGATTTCTCACAGTGGTAAGGAAAATCGCCTGTAGCATGCACGGGTCGAGGTGGAAAATGGATGAGGTGGAGAAACCAGTAAAGGGTTACTGCAGTGGTTCAAGTGTGTTCCCCGAAGTTCATGTTGGAGACAACTCCAATGGGGTTTCTATTGTTGTGATGAAACACCATCACCAAAACAAGTTGGGAAGGGGAGGGTTTATTTGGCTTACGCTTCCACTTTGTAGCTTATCACTGAAGGAAGTCAGGACAGGAACTCAAGCACATCTGGAACCTGGAGGCTGGAATTCGTACAGAGGCCACGGAGGAGTGCGGCTTGCTGGCTTACTCCTCTTGGCTTGCTCAGCCTGCTTTCTTATAGTCATCCTCTCAGATGACTTTAGCTCAGCAGGTCTCAACCTGTGGGTGGTGACCCCTTTGGGGGTGTCCAACAACCCTTTCTCAGGGGTCGCATTTCAGATATCGTGCATATCAGAAATTTACATTACGACTGATAGCAGTAGCAAGATTAGTTATGAAGTAGCAACACAGAATTTTATGGTTGAGGGTCACCGTAACCTGAGAACTGTGTTAAAGGGTCGCAGCGTTAGGGAGGTTGGGAACCACTGCTTTACCTTGTGCCAAGCTGACATAAAACTATCCAGTGAAGGAGCCGATTAGGGTTTTGTGTCCTCGGAATGGATTGGTACCGAGTGTATTAGTCACCACAGGAGACCTGACAAAATAATCGAGTTCAGTTCTATTCCTTCTTTGCCTCATGCCTGTCCTTTTGTCCTGCCTGTCCTTTTGTCCTGCCTGTCCTTTTGTCCTGCCTGTCCTTTTGTCCTGCCTGTCCTTTTGTCCTTCACCTCCTACTGTGGGACAAGGCAGCTGCAAAGCCCTTGCCAGAAGCAGGCCCTTCAGTCTCCAGAGATGGAATCTCTGTTCTTTATAAGGCAGTCCGTCTTGGGCATTCTGTGACAGAAACAGAAAACAGACCGAGACATCCACACAAAAGATACTGATGGTCTCAGCTATTCTCACAGCAGAGGGAATTCAAATGAAACAGAGAGAATGAGAGCTGTGGGGTACTTATGTCGAAATGACTTGTGAACTGATTTTATTAGGGAAGAGGTATTCAAAAGCAGCCCTGAAATTCCTTTCTTGAGGACCCAGAGTTCTCTCTTTAGCTGTGCTGTGTGTGAGGTATTTGACTATACCGCACAGCCAACAACAAAGTGAACAGAATTTAGGGAAGTAATCAGAGACAATGACCTACACCGGAGTGGCCCTCCTCCTGGGGAAAGTAATCAGAGACTATGGTCTATATCGGAGTGGCCCTCCTCCTGGGGATGTTTAAAAGATGAGAATAGTAAGTTCATTGAAGCGAAGAGATTTTTGTTTGTTTCTTTTGTTTCTTTAGTAAGGAAAAGAGCTGGGCATAGCAGAGACCAGCCTGGTCTACGTAATGAGTTCCAGGCCAGTCAGGGCTACATCTAAACAATAAAATAAAATAAAAAGAGAGAGAGAGAGAGAGAGAGAGAGAGAGAGAGAGAGAGAGAGAGAAGGGAATGGAATGTATTTATGTTTATGGATGAGAGAGGAAAAGGAGTTCTTAAAAATTTAAGAGAAATTCGAAGAATCAGGAAAATTTAAGGTTAATTGTGGGAGCTGTCTCATGTATCTCCTCCTGTTGCTGTGATAAAATACCCTTTCCAAAGAAAACTGTGGGTTTTTTGTTTTTTATTTTTTTTAGCTCACTATTACAGTCCATCATGACAGGAGATTAAAGACTTCATGAGCTTGAAGTAGCTGATCATATTATGTTCTCATTCAGAAGAGGACAATGAATGCATGCATGTGCTGTCATTGTCCTTTATCACCCAGTACCCCCTGCCTAGGGAATGGTGTCCCCTGTGGTGCCCAGGTCTTCCCACCTTAATTAGCATAATGAAGATACCCCCCCCCACAGACATGCCCAGATGATTCTTACATTTGCCAGTTGACAACAGCACGGAGTCAAAGGGGGAAGAATGGTTTAGAATGGAAATGTTTGGCGATGTTAAAGACTTCACAGAAACGATAAGAAATACACGGAAGACATTTGAACTTGCAAAGCCTTCGTTCTTGAGAAGTGTGGCATCACATTAAAGAAGGAACGGGGGTTTGAAGTTTTGGCAAGACTGCAGGAACACGTCGGAGTAAGAGACAAAGTGAACATGTAGGAAAGAAGAGCCATCTCTTTAAATTGGGAGTGACAGGAGAGGGAAAAGAATGACATGGGTAAAACTAATACAAAAGGAGTTTTAGTAAAAGAGAAGGCAAAAGGATCTGTTGAGAGTTAGACAAGCCAGTCTCCTTGGAGAGGAAGCTCTGCGCCCACCATAGCAGAGACCAGAGCAAAGAGCTTGAACACATTGGAAATGATGCTTTGAAGATTGAACTTTAAAGGTATTATTTCCTCCAACTCAACTTTCAGGACTTTGTAGAATTGTCCTTTGTTCGGATTCTTATCAAATTAAGTGAGTCTCTTAGCTCTGTGAAGTGGCTGTGCTAATCTCCTTCTCATTTTCATCTAGTAATTTGTGATTATCATTCAAGGCCCATCCTAAATCTCACATCCCTGTCAAACTTCCCTGATGACCTCATTTTGGGGGGCCATTAGTGTTTATTACAGAAAATAAATTATGATACCACCAAGAATTTTTTTTCTTTTTTGCTGTGCTGATCAAACCCAAGGACCCTGTACATGTTAGACAAGTGCTCTACCACCGAGCCACATCTCTAGCCCTTGACTTCCTAGACAGGATCTTATATACAGCCCAGGCTGATCCTGAGTTCCTAATCCTCCTGCCTCAGCCTCCTAAGTGCTACAATTATAAGCTCCTATCACTACATCTGGTAAGAACTATTTTTTTTTACATTTATTAATTTATATGGGGGGCATTCATGGCATGGCAAGCGTGTGGTCATCAGAGATGGTTCATGCTGGGGATGACACTCAGGTCATTAGGCTTGGCAACATGCACATTTGCCCAATGAGCCATCTCACTGGTCCAGAACTGCTTTTCAATAGCAGTCTTTTGGGCACACAAATCTGAAACTTTAGGATTGACAGATTAAATGGGCCATGTCAGGGTTTGATGCTATTTGTAGATTTATGTGATGTCTAACACTACTAGCCTCTCCATCGCATTCTTCTGAGTGGTAATCGGTGTGAGGTCAGCTTCTGGAGACCGTTTGGTGCCTGCTGGTGGATTGTCAACATTTGTTGAGCTCTGAGTATGTTCCAGGCATATTATCACACAATAGAAACCCAATTAAAAAGATACATTCTGTATCTGTTGTACCTCCTTGTGCCTCATGGAGACAAGCGAAGAGCAAGGCCCCCAGACCTGGGATCCCTGAATGTCCCTGGGCCTAGTGTCCCGGGAAGAAGACCCCTTGGGTTGAAGTGGGTCTGAACTTCTCAGGGTTTCTAGGCTGGTTGGATTTTGTGTTGCATAACTCTTATGATTATGAAAAAAAAAAGGAACATTCTGGCATCTAATTCCAATCACCCTTCTAACTTAGGGGAAATGGTTGGCAGAGAAGAAAATAAATAATTGCAACACATGATCAAGACTGCAGGCTGGTGAGGAAGGAGATTAGGTAAATACCACTGCTCCAGTTTGTTAATCATTCACTGGGACAGAGGAGAGTTTCTCCCTGTCCATCTTTATTTACCTGCCTCTGATCAGCCACCTGCGTGGGTAGAATCCAAGGACCATGTGTGTGGGGAGAATCCAGGGACTTTTTGGTGGAGCAATTACTGGCCACCTTTAGGATATTGTGATCAACTGTCATCTTGGGAGATCAAGTACAGTACAGTAGAGATCAAGGCATCATCACAGAGTCATTTCCTCTGCTACTGCAGGTCAGTGAGCTACTGATCACTTGAGTGGGGGGTTGTGGGTAAAGATGGTCATCAGGTCCTTTAGGAGATACATCTCTGTGTGCTATTTTTTTTTATTTTTGAGATTATAATTTAATTACACTTTCCCATTCCCTTTCCCTCCTCCCAAATCCTCCTGTGCATCCTTTCTTGCTCTATTTCAAATTTATGACCTTTTTTTCATTAATTCTGATTGTGATCATATATTCCTAAATACAACCTGTTCAGTCCACATAATGTTACTTGTATGTGTGTTTTCAGGGCTGAATGTTTGGCACTGGACAACCAGTTGCTGTGGTTCTTCCCTGGAGAAGACCACCTCTCCCCCCCACCCAGCTTTTCTAAGTTGTCTATAGTTCTTTGTGTGTAGAATCAAGGCCCTATGAGCTCTTCCCCATCTAGTTTTGTATATTCATTGGTGTCCTCCTTGTTCAGTTCATGTTTGGGAGGTCCTGTTGGTGGGTTTAACTGGTATAGCTTCTGATGTTACTAGTTACCCCACAGTAAACTCCTTGATCCCTTGACTCTGCCAATCTGTCTGTCTTAACACTTTGCTAGGTGGTGACACACGCCTTTTATCTCAGCATTCAGGAGGCAGAGGCAGGTGGATCTAGTTTGAGGCCAGCCTGGTCTACAGAGGGAATTCCAGGACAGCCAGGGCTATACAGAGAAACCCTATCTTGAAAAAACCAAACCTAATCAAAGCAAAAACAAACCCAAACTATACTTGTATATTTATACATGGAGTTACATTATGCGTATTATGTTTTTTTTTTAAGTTAAAAAGTTAAGAGTTGTGTATGGAAGCCACTATTTCCTTAGAGTCGTCCACCACCTCTGGCTCTTACAACCTTCCCACCTCCTCTTCCTCATAGATCCCTGAGCCTTGAGGGGAGGGGTTTGATGACGACATCTCATTTAGGACTGAGTGCTTTGAAGCCTCTCACTTTCTACACATTGTCCAGTTTGGGGTGTCTGTGTTAATTCCAATCTACTGCAAAAAGACACTTCTCTGATGAGGATTGAGTGAGGTACTCATCTATGGGTATTTTGATATCATTAGGGGTCACTTTATTGTTATGTTCATTTAACAGAATGATAGTAGTAGGTTTTCTTTTAGGCCCATGACCGACCTAATCTTAAGTTCTTGGCCAATGTAGCAGTGCCATGTCTGGGTTCCATCTCATGGAGCGGGCCTTAAATCCGATTTAAGAGGAGTGGTTGTTTACTCCCACGACATTCGTGTCACTGTGTACCAGTGTATCCTGCAGGCAGTTCTCTGTTGTAGGTCTCAGAGTTTGTATCTGGGTGATATTGCTGATCACCTTCCTCCTCCGCTAGTTACCTTCTAGGCAGAATGCCTTCTAGTACCACGAACACTAGTTAGCAAGGGTGAAGCTTCTAGTTAGGCATGAGTTCATTTTTCTATGTTTGATGACATAAATGTTGCTGTCTTCAGAAACGGGAACTCACCATCAGGTGAAAAGCAGCCAATAGCCTTAGACGTAGCCTGTGATATTTGGTGGCATAAGATGTCTACCTGGGGCATTGTCTCCCCCATTGTATGGTGACTCTACTTAAATTCCTTTCATAAATGCATCTATTTTAGGAAGCTTCTACAGTAGCATGTTTCCATAGGATTTTTCAAATGGCCTTTAACATTAGTTGTCACTCCCCATATTCCCTCCTGTACCCTGCTTTCCCGTTCCCCTCTCCATTTAGTCCTCCTGTTCTAGCTTTCCTTTTGTTTATCCTTAGGACTATGTTGTATAGGTTTGAACACATTGGCACAGGAAAGGACTTTCTGAACAGGATGCTGATAGCACAGGCACTAAGACGGACACTTAATAAATAGGACCTCATGAGGCTAGAATGCTTCTGTATAGCAAAGGGCGCCATTGTTTGGGCAAAGCAGTCCCTATAGAATGAAGAAGAAAAACATCCTCTTTCAGGAATCTTTACCAGTTATACATTGGCTGCAAGGTGAGTATCTAGACTACATGAAGAATTTTAAAAAGCCCTGAGCATCAAGAAAATAAATAATCCAATTAAAAATGGGGTACAGAATTAAGCGGAAAAGTGAGCAGGAAGTTCCCAAAAGATGAAACACCAATAGTTGAGAAACAAAGAAATGTTCAACATCTGTAGCCATCAGGAAATGGAAATTGAAACAACTTTGAGGTTTCATCTTACTCCAGTCAGAATGGCCAAGATCAATAAACAAATGGCAGCTCATGCTGGTGAGGATGCCAGGAAAGGGGAAAACTTATTCCTTGCTGGTGGGAGTCCACACAGATATAGCTGTTGTGGAAATCAGTGTGGAGGGTCCTCAAAAACTGAAAACCAATCTACCACAAGATCCTGCTACTCCACTTTTGGGCATACTCCCAAAGGACTCGACATCCTTCTGCAGAGATACTTATTCATTTATGTTCATTGCTGATCTATTCATAATAGCCAGAAATTAGAGATAGCTTAGATATCCATCAACTGGTGAATGAATAGTGAAAATGTGAATCATTTACATAATTCAATATTACTCAGCTGTTAAGGAAGATAACATTATGAAATTCACAGGTAAACAGATGAAGCTAGAAAAAGGAATCATCCTGAGCTAAGTAACCTAGACCCCAAAAGACAAATATTGTGTGTTTTCTCTTATATGTGCATGTTAGCTCTTCAGTCTTTAATATGTGTCTACATTCTGAATAACCAACAGGATTAGGTGTCTAGTAAGGGACTAGGAGAGAGGAGGGGGGGGTCTCTTGATTTGCAAAGTTGAAACACTGTCTTCTGCTCCCAGCTGACCTGAATTTATTCTCTGGCTTCACAAAACACTGCTCAGATATATCCTCCTTTGCAAATTCACTTCCTCTCCCCACTTGGAATGAATTTCTCTTCCCACAATGGTCTTTGCAGAGGCGAGTCCTTGTTGTTTCTCATGCTAACATCCTTACTTGCCTCTCTTCTTCCCATCTAGGCTGTCACTTCCTTGAAGAGGTGGATATTGTAGCATTTATCCCAATGCTTTATGACAAGTAGATTAAACAGTTGCTTATTAAATTCAGGTTTTCTGGCAGAACCAATGTGGGCAAATCATCTGCAGGCTATGCGCCCCACAAGAGCTCCACATGGGAGGCTTCATAGAAACAGGGATGCTGTGGCCTGGCCCTTCTCTAGGCTCTGGAGAGTCTCTGACCCAACTTTGTTCCAAATGACCATCATTGCTGCTCTCTGGGTTGCTGTTTTTGGTGAGTAGTAGGCAAAAAGTCCAGATGGACAACGAAGAGTTACTTACAAGACTTTGGATGAGATAGTTATGCTAGTGGAGATCCAGTTTCAGCAACAAAGGATTTATTTTGCCATCTGGAGCTAGGTGTTTCTAGGTTTTGAAACAAACCTATATTGTCTAACAGTGATCAAACACATTTCATGGCTTGGGATTGGTCTGGAATGGAGAAATTAGGAGCAAACCATTTCTCTGGGGGCGGAGGGGGGCGCCACCCAGCTACCAAATAAATCACACATGGAGGCTTATTCTTACTCATAATTGCCAGGCCTTAGCTTGGCTTGTTTCTTTCCAACTTTCCTTAACTTAAATTATCCCATCTATCTTTTGCTTCTGGGCTTCTTATATCTGTAAATCTTTTTTTTTTTTTTTTTTGGTTTTTCGAGACAGGGTTTCTCTGTGTAGTTTTGTGCCTTTCCTGGAACTCGCTTTGGAGACCAGGCTGGCTTCAGACTCACAGAGATGCACCTGCCTCTGCCTCCCGAGTACTGGGATTAAAGGCGTGTGCCACCACCACCCAGCACATCTGTAAATCTTACTCTTACTCCATGGCTGTTGTATGGCTGGGTGGCTGGCTCCTGGAGTCTTCCTCCTTCTCTGGATACTTCTTATTTTCCTCCCAGACTTCTCTTTTATATATTCTGTCTGCCTACCAGCCTTGCCTACCCTTTTTCTGCTTTGTTATTGGCCATTCAGCTTTTTATTAGACCATCAGGTGTTTTAGAGAGGCAAAGTAACACAGATTCCACAGAGTTAAACAATTGCAACATAAACAAAAGTAACACACCTTAAAATAATATTCTACATTTCCCCCTTTTGTCTAAATAAAAAGGTTTTAACTTTAACATGGTAAAACTATACACAACAAAAACAGTTATCAAGTAAGAATTACATTTACAATATTCTGTCCATATTCAGAGAAAATTATGCATTATCTATCCTATCTTAGTGAATCCAAAGTTTTACACCTAACTTACTTTCTATCATAACCCAAGGAAAACTGCAACTATAACTATCTAGTCTTCAACTCCATCCAAGACCATCCAGAAAGATGTAATGTTATCTAACAACAGAGACATTTGCCTACCTGGACAGTCACCCAATGTTCCTCTGCAATGTTGGGGCATCCATCTTCAGCCTACAGGCCCAGAATATCTGGCAAACTTTTCAGTGAAGCAGGAAATTTGAAGGACGGTTATGCCTTGTATTGGCAAAGTTCATCAGTTGCTTTCCTCTGTGTCCTGCAGAATATCTGGCAGACTCTTCTATGAAGCAGGAATTTTGAAGGACTGTCCTGCCCTGTTTGGGCAAAGTTCAACAGTCTTTTTCCTGTGTGTCCTTCCCGTTCAGTATGCACAGCACATTGCCAGCAGTCAAAGGCAAGAGCAGTTTCTTTGCCCAGGGGCTAACATTGCCACAATAAAAGCAAACTCCATAAGGAGTTTCTTCAATGCCCATCATCTCTGAAATAAATTGGTGCTGCCTGGAGCAGATGGTTCTCATTGTCATGAAAAAACCTTAGGTTAACAAAACATTTTAAATGCCATATTCCATAGGCCGTTGAAGTGTTTGAAAACCATTTATTTATCTATCTAAAATATATCTCTATATGATCTTAAAAACATACCTAACACATCTACAAATTTGATTGTTATAGATGACTAACTACTGACCTGTTTCTTGATTGTTGTGAATAGTTCATAATAATAGCTTTCAAAAACTAGAACTTTACCTTACATTTTTAAATGAACTGCATAGGTACAATACCTTTAACAAAAGTAGATATATATATATATGTATGTATATATATACATATATACACACATATATATATAGTAAAAATAACTTTGAATTTATATCAATATGCTATATACTATACACTATTCATTTTTAATAGGGAAAGTAGGATTGAGATTTTTATGTCTCAAGAATTCTATGCTTTCTCTTCTATATCACCCAGGCTGGACTTGAATTCATAATCTTTCTTACACATCACCATGTCTGGCTCATTATGTCAGTCCAAATGAAATGGTAATGTTTCTCTTAAGGCAAATTTATAGGAATTTTTGGCATTTCATAGATGCTTTCTGAGCAGAGATGGGTAACACAGGCTATGAAATATATGACTGTCCTTTTTAGAAAAAATATTTTATATAGTAGAGAAGAGACAAAATGTATTCCTTTTATCATCATTGTTGTTATCATTTATCAACAGACATATGTGTACATCTCTCATGAACTCATGACACAGGGGAATAATACATTTATGATTTTTTTGATTAGAGGAGGAAAGAACTGTTTTCCCTCTACAATTATAGCACTGAAACACTAAGGTGCCGTGTCTTAGGTATGACATTTAGTGTTGCCGTCCTCTTTGTGTCTAGGTAAATGTGGTCCACCACCTGATTTACCTGATGCCATGCCAGTAAGTGAGACGAACCAGACAGACTTTGAAAGCTCAACTTCCCTGAAATACATTTGTCGTCCTGGCTACAGTAGGGCATCTTCAAACCAGATCATTTACTGTGAACCTGATGGGAAATGGCGGATTGATATTGCCTGTGTCAGTAAGTATCAACATTCATTTTTCTCACCTGTGCATGTATCAGTTTCAGAACATTGTCTCGGGTTATATAATTACTGAATCTTAAGTCACTAAGGAACTAGTGAATTCATCAACTAGCAATTTGAATGTACATATGTATGAATCTTCTGAAAAGCAGAATAAAACAAAACAAAAATAAGAAACAAGCTAATTGCAATGAAGATCACTATACTATGCTGGTTAGTTTTGTGTCAACTTGACACAAGCTAGAGTCATCAGAGAAGAGGGAGCCTCAGTTGAGAAAATGTCTCCATAAGATCAGACTGTAGACAAGCCTGAAGGGCATTTTATTAATTAGTGATTGATGGGGGAGAGCCCAGTCCACTGTGGGTTGTTCCATCCCTGGGTTGGTGGTCCTGGGTTCTATAACAAAGCAGACTTACTGAGCCATGAGGAGCAGGCCAGTAAGCAGCACTTTTTCATGGCCTCTGCTTCAGCTCCTGCCTCCAGGTCTTGGCCCTGCTTGAGTTCCTGTTCTGTCTTCCTTCAATGATGGACTGTGATGTGAAAGTATAAGCTAAATAAATTCTTTCCTCCTCAAGTGGCTTTGGTCATGGTGTTTCATCCCAGCAATAGTAACCCTAACTAAGTTTTCAGTAACTCACCAGGTACTTCTTTAAATAAATATTGGGACTAAGGCCTGGTGTGAGATAGTGAACACCTTTAATCCCGGCACTTGGGAAGCAGAGGCAAGCAAGGACCTATCTGAGCTGGAGGCCAGCCTGGTCTGCACAGCGATTCTCAGGCCCGCCAGGGCTACATAGTGACAGACCGTGTCTCAGAAACAAAAAGAAAAGAGAAGAAAGGAAGGAAAATGTTGGGCTAGTAGGATGGGTTAGCAGATGAAGGTGCCTGAGGCTCATCCCTGGAACTTGTATAAAGGTGGAAGGAGAGAACAGACCCTCCAGAACTGTCCTCTGAGCTCCACATGCAGGCTGTGGCCAACCCCCAAACAGCAGCAACAACAACAACAACAACAATAAAAATAGGAATGATAATAATAATGATAAAACATTCTGCGGTTTAATGGCCAGAAAGTAGCAATCCTACCTCAAACACATGGTGAGCATTGCTTTTATACACAGAATCTGGAATTAAAAAAAAATACATGCATATACATACATACATACATACATACACACACGTACAATATATAAACACATACATATATTAGGGGAAGGAAGGTGACCACAATGGCTGATGAATATGATTAAAATAAAATGCTATTCTTATATAAAAGTGTCATAATGAAACCCATTATTTTGTATACTAATTTAAAAATTAAGTAAAATCATGCATAAAACCAAGTATTTTGTGGACTTGGAAGAGGAGCTCACACTGTGAGCAGGGCATCATTCTGCACGGTCCCCAAGAGTAATGACATACAATGTCTGCTTTCTCTCTTTTGTCCCTTTTTATAATCAAGAAAATGATTCTTGCTAAAATACACCAGGGTGATTAAAAGAGATCAAAATTTGTGTGAATCTTCTCTCCAGAACCAAAATTCAGTGTGTCAGATCCAGAGATAAGTGTGACTCTAGACAGGTAGGTCTTTCTGAATGTGGAGGTAGACTTAGGTCTGTTAAGTTTCCAATGGTCGCATCTGTGAATGGTGGGACCACTTACCATCATTTTAATTTTCCTCTAGAAAAATCATGCAGGAATCCGGGAGAATTACAGAATGGACAAGTGGAAGTCAAGACAGATTTCTCCTTTGGATCACAGGTAGAATTCAGCTGCTCAGAAGGGTGAGTTGAGGTAATTTAGAAATAATTACAAATTAACTTTAAAAAATAGCTACTTTCAAAATTTAAAGTGATATTAAGAGTATGTATTAAGAATTCTCACTTTCACCCATTCTCCGTGTACCCTATTCCTTCCTATATTTAAACAAAAGAATTTGCTTTTATCAATTTCTTTTATATCTTTGTAGTGTTTCCTCATTCAAATACAAGCCAAGGTACTAGCACATGTTCTTATATTTCCCTTTTCTGATAACAAATTTAGTTCGTGTTTAAGCTTTTTACATAGGGAAGGTGGAAGGGGAAAGAGCAATGTATATGACTATATTTCATTGTATACAATGTTTGTGTGAAATTCTCAAGAATAAGTAATGTAAAACAATCCTGAATCCTGCTGGGTTTAATGATGCAAACCTTTAATCCTATACTTAGGAGGCAGACACAGGTGGATTTCCGTGAATTTAGGTAAGTGTTAGGGAACATACTCTAGTCCTTTGAAAGGGCTCTTTTTTTTTTTTTTTGGTTTTGGTTTTTCGAGACAAGGTTTCTCTGTGTAGCTTTGTAGACCAAGCTGGCCTTGAACTCACAGAGATCCACCTGGCTCTGCCTCCCCAGGTGCTGGGATTACAGGCGTGCGCCACCACCGCCCGGATGAAAGGGCTCTTAATCGCTGAGCCATCCTTCAGTGTTCTTACTTGTTTTTATTGGACTTTTTATGCTTGTTTTATATGGTTCAATTTTTCACTGCTATGTAATGTACAATCTTAATGTGCACATTAATTTAAATATGTAGATCATTTGTAACTGTCACTTGAAATGCATTTTGAAGTATTTTCTCCTACTATAATGTGTGATGATTTTTTTAAAAAATTGAATTAAGTTTTATTTATTTATTTTTGAGACAGGGTTTCTCTGTGTAGCTTTGCGCCTTTCCTGGAACTCACTCTGTAGACCAGGCTGGCCTCGAACTCACAGAGATCCGCCTGGCTCTGCCTCCTGAGTGCTGGGATTAAAGGCGTGCGCCTCCACCACCCATCGAATTAAGTTTTAAGGTTAGCATACAGAGTGATGAGTTCCATTATGACATTTTTGTACGTATGTGTCACTACACTTTCTGACTTTTAATCTCTAACAAAAAAACGGGTTCATCAGGCATCCTCAAACATGTGGTATTATACTTTGTTCTACTTTGTCCCTCTCTCCCCAAAACCCTCCATGATGACTCCTTAGCTGAGAAAACATCGTTTCTTCATTTTATTATCTGTTTGGTCACCTTTACACAACTTTATTTAAAGTGGGAATTCCATTAAAACCTTTGACCTTCTCTTATCTAGATATATCTTAGTTGGCTCATCCACTAGTTATTGTGAGATCCAAAGTAAAGGAGTCGCCTGGAGCGATCCTCTCCCACATTGTGTAAGTAAGTAAAGAATCTTTTTTGACTTGGCTATAAGCAGAACTGTGTTAGGGAATGATTCCGTGTGTTCTTCCTGACGCTTGTACCCTCCACATACATTTGCAAGAATTGTTATCATGCCCATCCCTGAACATTTCTCTTCTACCGATTTCTTAGTTGTCAAGTGTGAGTCCCCTCCAGACATCAACAATGGGAGGCACAGTGGTGGTGATGACTTCTACACGTATGGCTCCTCCATCACCTATTGGTGCGATTCCCGCTTCATTCTCCGTGGCAATGCCTCCATTACCTGCACCGTAGTGAACAAAACAGTAGGTGTTTGGAGTTCAAGCCCCCCTGCTTGTGAAAGTAAGTCCCAGTGCTAATTCTGCTTTCAATTGTTCACGTATGTTTTGCTTAGAAGAAAAAAGAAGGGGGATTTATTGTGGGAAGTAGAACAATTTCAAGATAAATGAATGGATGTGTGTGTGTGTGTGTGTGTGTGTGTGTGTGTGTGCGTGCATCTATTATTTGGCTAAGAGATATTCAATGCATTAGAGTGGCAAATAACACTATATCATAGTGATTTGGTAAAGTAAGAATTTCTCATTCATCTACAGTCTGTTCAAAGGTGTTCACTACACTCAGACAACCTTCCCTGGAGAGCATCCTAGGCATGCCAACAACTTAGAATAGAGCTCAGCAGTCCAGCTTCTTAGGTCGCATGGCATTTCCATATGGAAATGTATTTTTCTAATTTCTTTAGTAGAAGAAAGAAAAATAAATTCTATCCTTTGGCTGGGAGTGACTATATTGCCACCTTTTATTCAGAACTAGTAATATATATGTGTTCTTATATCCTATTTTTGAACTAGAGTATTTATCAGATCTAAGAGTTTTCTGATGAAGTCTTTAATTTTTTAAAAAATTATAGGGCATGCCATCTGCAAACAGGAATACTTGGACTTTTTCTTTACTATTTATATTCCTTTATTTCTTATTCTTGTCTTATTGCTTTAGCTAGGGTCTCAAGCACTGCAATTGAATAGGAGTAGCAAGAGTAGGCGCCTGAGTCTCATTACAGATTTTAGAGGAAATACTCTATTTTTTCCTATTTAGTATGATGTTGGCTATAGTATTGGAAGCATGTAGATACTTATATTCACATATAAGCACTAGGGAAACCAGGAATATCAAATGTGTAGGGTTGTCTCTTCAAAGGGAGACATGTATAACCTGTTTTCCACTCAGAAGGCTAGGAATGGATGCGGTGAATAGCCTGATGACCTCTGCACTATCTGTATGGCCAGGCCATACCGATTCCCCAAGACTCTTGGGCTTTTTTATTTCAGCCAGTCTATAGCACTATTTCCCCCTAGATCCTTGTCATGAGCATTGTTTACCTTGAGCCTACTTGCTCTGTTAATCCATAGAACCCGTCTTTACGGAAGAAAGCACTTATACTTTACAAGAGTTTCAGGGCAGTCATGTCCTTGTCTCTGTTGTACATGTGGGATTAAGTTATTTGCCACAAGGAAACTTTTCCCCAAATTGTTCTGTGCTTAAATATGCCTAAAATAAATTACCTGGAGCCAACAGCAGTTACCTGAGCATTAAGCCACTCAGGCTACGTGAGTGGCCAAGCCCTTCCCCTGAGGACCTCTAACTGCCAGGTTCCACCCACAGAATAACTGTCCTAACTGCTGGACCCAAGCCCCACCCTACAGAGTAAAAGCCCAATCTCTGGACCTGAAATCCACCAATCTCCACCCTGGAAAGTTCCACCCCCTTCCCAAGAAACCCTGTATAAGCCCTGCATCCTGTTCTGTTTGCTGCTCTTTCTTGCCCCAGCAACCATCCTGGTTTTTTCCCCTCCCAATAAATCTCTTGTATGAGGTTTGTTGTGTGGTGTGACTTTGTGGTATCCCTTGGCTTCTGGCTGCCAGGATACCTTTCTATCGGAGCTGTAACACTTACACTCAGTCCTGTTGAACCGATTGCCCCTATGGATTGACACTCTACTGGCTGTGGTGTTTGCAGATTCCCCCCCCCCCACCTCTCCCATCCCCCCCCCAGCCCTCTCTCACACACACATAGGTTAGTTGTTTATAGCCTTTGTAATGTTGAGGTGTGGGCCTTCTATTCCTACTTTCTTCGGGAATTTTATCATGCAGAGATGGTGGACTTTGTGGAAGGTGTTATCTGTATCAGTTGAGATGATCATGTGATTTCTGTACTTAAGTCTGTTTATATGCTGAATATATTACCTTGCTGATTTACTTATGTTGAAACAACATTGGACCTTTGGAATGATACCCACTTGGTCGTGGCCTATGATCATTTTAAAATGGTTTTGGATTTGGCTTATAAAAATTAATGAGAGGTTTTAAAGTCTGTTTTGATCAGGAAAATTAGTCACCATGTGGGTCTTTGGGATTGAACTCAGGTAGTCCGGCTTGGCCAGCTGACTTTTATCCACTGAGTCCCTGACTTTTACCCTTTGGTCATTTTTAACATCTTGACTATGATATGTTTTGGAGGGAGTCCTCCTCTTGGCATGTCTGTTTTGGGTTCTAAATGCCCCTTGTATTTGAAATCTTTTCTCTAGATTTGGGAAACTTTCTGCTATCCTTCCATTGAGTAGATGCTGTCTGCTTTTAGTATTATCTTATTTCTTTCTTCTACACAGGGGATTCTTAGATTTTTCATCTTGATCTGGCATGATTAGTGTTAACCATCAGCTGGACAGAAGCAGAGTCACCTGGAAGACAGCCTCGCAGGCATGCCTGTAGGAAATCCCTTCATTGTCTTAACTGGGGTGGAAGAGTTCTTCACTCACCCCCCTCTTATCCACAGTTGCTGCTCTGGGCTTCTCCTCTCTAGAGACTGCAGCAGACCAAGGCTCCCTAACCTGGGGCTGGTTTTTGTTGGTTGATTTACCTCAGGCCCATAGGGTAGCTCAGTTATAGGGACAGATTTTCCTTCAGGATTGTATCTGCTCTGCTGCTGTCTCCAAAGTCACAGCCCTGTGACAAAAGGGACTTTTCTTCATGGCTGGCCCCATCTGCTGGAGGAATCCTTGTCTTACAGTTGGATCTGAGGCTTATGAGGGTTTTCAGCTTGTCTTGAGAGTCAGACTTGCTGATTTTCTGTCTGGCTTAGCTTCTGGGTGCCTTCTGCTCCCCTACTCCACAGAGAACTAAGTTGCTGAGGCAAGGGTCTCTGTGTCAAGGATCTGTTTCCATCTCTGCTCTTTTCTGGCATCCTTTTCAATTATTCTATGGATATCTAAAGCTCTTTCTCTATTTCTAAATAAAGTCTATTCTTTTTTCTTATTCTGACTTCTTCACTGGCTTTTTCAGAGGCATCCCCTGTCCTTTTCAATAAAATTCCTTCTACTATTTATGTTAATTTTCCAAGATACATTTTTTTTTGTGGTACCCAGGGCCTCATACATGCGTGGCAGGTGCCCTTCCGCTAAGCTATATCCTTAGATCTCGAATTATCTGTGGTATGTGTGTGTGTGTGTGTGTGTGTGTGTGTGTGTGTGTGTGTACATGCGTGTACATGCACAGGTGCACGAGTGTCATAGTACGCATGTGGAGGTCAGAGGACACCTTGGAGGTTAGTGGTGACCTTCGACCTTGAGGCAGCCCCTCTTCTACCCTGAGACAGGGTCTCACTATGCATGCCTCCCAGGGACTGGGATTAAAGGTGCACACTACCATGTCTGGCTTTGCTTCTAAGCGGCATACACCAGGATAACTGTCCTTCCAGCATTAGGGAAGTCTCCTCTCTTATTATAGGATCACTGAGCCTACGGATGTATGCCACCATGCTGGATTTTTATATGGGTGCTGGGGATTAGAACTTAGGTCTTTGCGCACACTTTACCCACGGAGCCATTGCCCCAATACCCTTTAACTTTTAAAATCTGCTTGCCTTTTCTCATAATTCTTCAGGAATCACCTGTTCTCAGCCAAATATTTCACATGGAACAATTGTTTCTGGATTTAGAACTACCTACAAACCCAAAGAATCCGTTAGATTTACCTGCATGAAAGGGTTCATCCTCAGAGGCAGCAGTTTCGTTCACTGTGGAGAGGATGGAAACTGGAGTCCTTTCCCCATCTGTGAGCTCAGTAAGTATGGACCATGGTGAACTTTCACTGTCTGGAACCTAAGGAATGGGTGGACATACCCTCATGTCTAGATTCTGAATCACAACAAATGTAAATTTGGATTAGCAATATTTATCTTGTTTTCTTGTTGGAAAGAAGGGTGACTTTAGTACTCCTTGTAAGGTCATCTATCACACATGGTTATTCACACACCAGTCCTAAGGAGAAGCGTTGATGTTGTAGACATAGAAGATTCGTATACTTAGGTAGTGGTATTTGCTCCACCCATGACCTTGGGCTATACGGTCCAAAGGAGGTAGTGCTTCTTGCCGTTGTATGTGACCTCTTAAAAAATTTCCCCTTTTGTGTCTAAATAAGAAGGTTCTAAACCTAATACAAACTATATACAATAAGAATGATTATCAAGTATTGTCCAAGAAAAACAAAGGATAATAACATAAACAAAGATGGAACTACAACCAACAAGAATAACATCCAATAAGAAACACATGCTAAATGTCAGAAAAGTCCAGATCATAGGTAAATGGCAAATTACTGAGATTACTCCAATAGCTATCCTATCCTGAAGATTCTAACTTCACTATCTAAAATGTTCTTAGCTAAGATATGAGAGGATTATTACTGTAATTATCTAGTCTTCAACCCCATCAAAGACCTGAGAAGGCTATAATATTACCTGAGTAAACAGAAAGTGCAAGTGAGCAGCTTCTGAAAACTGCAAGAATTGACAGAGACAGCTGGCAGCCTAAACACTCACTGTTGGGGCATCCATTTTTGGCTATAGGCCTAGAAAATGTGACAGACCAATGTCAGAAGCAGGAATTTTGAAAGACCATCTTACCCTGTATTGGCAAAGTTCAGTAGTTGCTGTTCCTTGTGTTCTACTCATCTGGAAAGAACAAGGTTCATACTGCCAGTAGTCAAGGCAAGGGCAGTTCTTTGCCCAGCAGGCCATTTTGTGCCAAGAAGAAAACAAACTCCCAGAGTATCGTGGAAGCCCAATATTCTCTTGGAGTGAGGAGAGAGATGGCTCAATGGTTAAGAGCACTAACTAATGTTACAGAGGACCTGTGTTCAATCCCCAGGTCATCCAACGTCTGGTTACATCAGGCCCCCTTTGGGCCATATAGCCCAAGGTCATGGGCGGAGCAAATACCACTACAGACTTTATCATTAATTTTTGACAGTTAATAGATAATTGGCTAGCAAAATGATTTTTGAAAGACAAGTAATAAAATGTCCCTTTCTAATTTTGTACAAAAGTGTTATATGGCCTAGACACTCTAAAACAATTAACTTGTGGATCTTTTCAATAGTGATAAATGTTCTAATGTTAAGTTGGAACTAGCCTTGGTTCATAAAAAGAATTAAAGCAATCAACCATGTGTAGGCAATATTATTGCCCTAACTTGGCAGATGAGGAAACATTTTCAGAAGGTAAGTGACTTCTCAAGGTCACACAGCTGCTAAGGGGAAGAGGCCTCTGATGCCTTATAAGGATATTCTTAGTTTTACACTCATGAAGTACTATGAGTCTTTATCCTGGAGACTTCTGTAACAGTGGTACAAATAGTGGGGTAGATCTCTACCCTGGAGAAACATCTATTAAACTGACCAAAATAAATAAAGAAACCATTCAGTGCATCTTGGAGAGTACTCAAAGGAGTTACAACAAATTGAGAAGCATTTGTGCAGCGAATCCATGGATACTTGATAGAAATATTGAGAGGCCATTGTCTTGAATGAGCAACAACAACTCTTTGAGAACCCTTTCTGTGAACTCATAAATGACAGTTCTCATCTGCTGTTGAGTGGGATAGGCTATTATTGAATCTTGTGAATTTTCTAAAGTTCCATGCTGTGAAAAGCTTATGTGGAGCAGATGTCAGCAGCCAGACATCAGGTCTGTTCATCCACCCAGCTTCTACTGCATTGGATGGAGAAGCCAGGTGAGGCAGCTGCAGCAATTGTATCCTCCTGTTTCTGAACAGCTCCGTCTTGGAAGAGAAATGTTCTAGTAGGCTAGCCAGCAAACTATCACCTCCAGTTTTCCCATTTTATAGACTTAGAAACAAACAAATATTGATGGATTTCATTCTCTTGACTCTGGGCTGTAGACTATGTGGTGGGTACAGCTGAATGTAGGACTCCTTACAGACATACCTCTTCTCCCATTTCACAGTCCCTACACTACAGAAAGGGTTCTGGTGAAGGAATTGACTTAGTCTTTTCAGTCCCTGTCTATAGCACAAGATAACTGCATTATGGGAATTAAGTCCAATCTCAGAAAGACAACCATCGTATGTTTTCTCTCATTTCTGATTTCTAGATTATATATCAATACATAAAAACCCGTGTGAGTATATGCCATAAAAGTAGAAGTGAAATAGGGGACCAAAGGGGACTAACAGGAGGGTAGGGATGAGAAAAGGGAAGTAGGAGGTTTGAGGGGATCTGCTCACTGTATATACTATACACTTGTATGAAAATTCCCTTCTAAAGCACAGTACTGTGACTAGTTAATATACACAACAAAAATCAAATAAAAAGTATATTCTAGAGTAGATTTAGAACAGGCTTCAGAGACTTTGAACATCCTACACCCCAATAGCCCCCTGACTTTAATTGAGCCTGACTATGAAGTAATATATGCCCCCCAGGGATTTTTTTAAACCCATACACTAGGACAATCAGATAATATTGAATGCTAGCCATTGTACATACTACTACAGAGGCAGATCAGCTAAAAGTACAATAAGAGAATCAAAGAGAAAAATTAGTTGTTCCAGGTAGTTAGGAAGACTATGTGGATGCTCAAGGCTGTGCTTTCTGAGTTATGTCATTAGATGTCACATACTTAAGGGCAATAGATTCAACTTGAGCACTCCAGTCAAGACACAAACAAACAAGCAAACAAGGAAAATAAAAAGGTTCCAATGGTGATGAGGGGAAAAGAGTATTCAAACCACTATTATTTTATATGTCCAGTTTTCAAGAAATAATGGTCAGATATGAAGAAATCACCAAGAGTAACTCACATGAAGCAAATGCTGGCAATAAAAACTGTCTTGAATTGGCCCAAATATAAGACTAAACAGAAAATATTTTCAAAATTGCTATTATAAATAAGTTTTAAAACTAGAGGAAACATTGTTTAAAGAATTAAAGGAAAGTATTATGACAATGTCTCATCAAACAGAAATGTGAATAAAGATAAATCATTTTAAGAATTAAATGCAAGTTTGAGAATTGAAAAACTCAGTAAATAAATGGAGAATTTACAAGAGGAGCTCAGTAGTAAAGTCAAGTAAGATGAAGAGAGAACCGACTTTATAGACAGAAGCAAGAGAGATTGTGAGATTTGTAGCATAGAAAGAAAAAAAGGAGAAAAGAGGAGCAGTGCACAAGAGAAATAGTAACAAGCATTTCAAAAGGAGAAGAGAGACAAAGGAAGAGAAAATTATTCTGAGAAAAAAAATGATCAACTATTTCCAAGTTTGACATAAATATTTAATCTATACATCCAAGAAGCTCACTTGAACTGAAGAAGGCTACATTTTCATATATCCTGGAGATACCATGTGAAAATATTGAAAGGTAAAAATAAACAGAAAATGCTTTTGAGAGGAAGTAGCAAGAGAAACACAGAGCATCAACAAAACTAACATCAGTGTTTTCATTCAGAGATGATGGAAGCCACACAGCAGTGAGAAGATAGAGTTAAAGTAAAGAAAAATATGAACCCACAATCCAATGAAACATTCCACATCCATATTGTTGGAAACAACACAACAGATATGTAGCTGGAGTTTTCCTGTGTCCACTTGGCTCCTGCAGCCGCTCAGATCCAAGTAAACACACAGAGACTTAGATTATTCATAAACTGTATGGCCATGGCAAGCTTCTTGCTAGCTAGATCTTACACTAAAATTAACCCATAATTCTTATTTATGTTTAGCCACATGGCTTGGTACCTTTTCCCAGTTCTGCCTTCACATCTTGCTTCCTCTGTGTCTGGCTGGTGACTCCTGACTCAGCCTTCCTGTTCCCAGAATTCTCTTCTCTGCTTGTCCTGTCTATACTTCCTGCCTGGCTACTGGCCAGTCAGCATTTTATTTATTAACCAATCAGAGCAACACATTCACAGCATACAGAGAGATGTCCACATCACAGATAAGATTACTACTTTATAAAATTTTATGTTTCATGTATTTATGATTGTGGAGAGAAAAGCAGAGTGTAACTGTGTATTTATAGCTTCCAGTCTCACTCCAGCTACCTCCTTATTGTTCTTTTTTTTTTTTCCTTATTGTTCTTGAGCTGGGGACCAAACTCAGGTCTTTACACACGTTGGGCAACTACTTTACTACACTCTACCATAGACTCTTCATTTCTTCCTGTAGATTCCAGCTAATGTCTGCTGTTTTTATTGGCAAATATGTCTTTGTCTACAGCTATCACCCTGTGCTATTATTGCTAAACATAGCACATTTCTACATATGCTTAATAACTCAATTATTTTCATTTTTATAGCATGCTCCTTAAAATCAGTTGTATAGAAGAAATGGGCCTACTTGACTCTTTGTATCGAGTTTCCACATCTGGGAAGTCAATCAACTGTGGGTTTAAAATGTTTGAAAAAAATGTATCTGTACTAAACATGTACAGACTCTCTGTTGATAGCTTCTAAACACTCTACTGAAACAGTATTTACTGATATTGACATTATCATAGGCAAATCAGTAACTAAAGTATGTGGGAGGAGGAGGTATGTAGGCTATGTGGAGAGACTGTGTTATTTTATACTACAGACTTAAGCATCTATGGAGTAGGGGTCTTTGGAAGTTTTGCAAACCTATCTCCATTTCTAACTAGGGATGGGTGATTGTATCATCCTCTTACTTCTTAAGTATCTATACAATGACCTTTCTTGTGCTCATGTTTTCCTGCATGCTTCCAGCCAGAGCAAATTGCTCTCTTATTTCTTGTAAAGATTGTCTTTTAGCAATAATAAATAATATCAGAATGGTTCTATAAAAAGCCTGACATAGTTACCAAGATTTGTGGAAAAATTAGAACTCTATACACTGATGGTGGGAATCTAAATTATTACAGACATTTTAGAAAATGATTTCAACAGTCCTCTGAAGTATGAGCATGTTGTTACTGTATGATTCACAGTCATTTTCCTGAGTATCTATCAGAGAGAAATATAAACAGATATCCACACAGAAGGTTTTGCATGAAAGTTCAGACCAGCATTGTTCTTAACAGCCAGCAACCGAAATACCCATCCATGGGACAATAGTGATAAATTGGTAGAGCTATACAATGGAATATCATACAGAATAAAAACAAAGTACGGGTAAATGCTGGCATGGATTAATTTTGGAGTATGGTTTCTAGTAAAAGAAGCTAGCTACAAAAAAGGAAAGAAAACACATTGTATAATTCCATTTATTTAAAAAACTCAATGTAGGAGTAATACTAAAAACATGGGGTTTCTTCGTGAGATGATGAAGATATCCTGAAATTGGACAGCATAGAAAGCCACACAACTCCACAAATATTAAAAACTGTCAACCTGTACTTTCTGAAGGATTTTACTCTATATCCCATGGTGAATGTTTGGAGATTCAAAATAATGACCATCAACTCCGCAGGTAAATGTGTATTACTTATAAACTAGCAGTACCAGGCAAGGGAAGAGGAAAGGCCTCAAAGCCTAGGCTCAAAATTGTTAGTGCTCTGTTTGCTCTTGTTCTGAGTTTTCCTGGATGAGGGAAATGACTTTTGTTCAGTTTCCCTAGTCAAGAAACCATACACAGTTAGTTTTTGCTGTCTATGATAGTTGTCCTGCCATCTTCTTTTAAAAAGCCTAATGCTTCAATTTAGAAACGAAACTGTCTGAAGTACAACGGAAAGAAGAATTACTGTTGAGTGTGGTTGGCACAGCACACAGAGAGCATTTGGTAGTGCCTTTGGTGAGAACCTGTCAGGTTCTGGGCCAATCTTGGCAAACATCCTTATACATTTTCTGGTGTGGTCAATGTGAGCTATGGAAGATTAGTTCCTTTTGGTACCCTTTGATGAGACATGCTCTCTGAGTGCTATGGCGACCCTATTAACCATGTCCTTTTCTCTTGTTCTTGTTTTATGAGCAGATAGTTGCACTAATATACCAGACATTCCACATGCTTCCTGGACACGAAATCCCAAGCCAACAAAAGAAGACTTTTATCCGGTTGGGACTATGTTACACTACAATTGCCAGCCTGGCTATGAGCCTGCTTTAAGACAGCGGACGACTGTGATTTGTCAGAAGGATTTCACCTGGAGCCCGTTTAAAGGATGCAAGGGTGAGTTCTGGTTTCCCAAATGTGTGTGGGTATTAAATATCTAAGTGATTGGACCTTATACCTTATGTGAGTATAATTTTATCACTTTTAGAATAAAACTTGAATACACTGTTTTGACTAAAGTAGAAGCTATTTAGTATCAAAAGTGGTCATAAAGTTTCAGGGGCTAAGATTATAAATCGTTCTGTAGGCCACTTTAGAAATGAACAAAAGAAACAGATATAGAAGCCAGACAACATGCAGGTTTATGTTTCAACTTCACTGCTGGGGGGTCTGGGTGCAGCACTCAGCTCAACGCTTGTCATGATGAGATTCTATAGCCCCTCCTCCCCCATGTGAAGTCTAGGGGTTCTGGCAGGTGGAAGAGTTCATGAGACCATTATGAATTCAACAACCTACAAGTTGGCATGTGTCTTACAGTTGTTGAGCCACAGGTATGTCAACCTAACAGAGTTCTTGCTTCAAGAAGACAGGCACTAACTCCTGACTCAGAAGTGGCATATAGAACACCAATTAGACTGGACCAGAAAATAAACTCCCTTGACATTTAATAGTTAAAAAAAACCTAAGTTCATGAAACAAAGGATATTGGGAACTGCAAAAAAGAAAGGCCAAATCACTTAATAAAGACATGACCATCAGAATAACAGCTAATTTTTCAATGGAGATTTTAAAATGCAAAAGGGGTTGAACTGATGTTCTACAAGTTCAGAAATACAACACATGCTAACCTGGACTACTATACCTAGCAGAAGTATCAGTCATAATCAAGAGAAACAAAAAACATCTCATGGTAAAAACACATTACAGTGATTTATGGCCACTATGCTGTCTCTACAGTGGACATTGAAAGGAATACTTTCATCTCAAGAGAAGAATTAAAAACACCAAGAGGTCATAAGGAGTAATAAATAATTCCAGAATGATTAATCTAAAGAGGTCTAAGAAAACACCACCATCACAACAAAATGTCAAGAATTAAAACACTGTTTACAAACAGCTCTTAATATCAATGATCTTGATTTTCCAATAACAGATGGGGTTAGAAAATAAAATCCATCTTTTTTCTGCCTCCAAGAAACACACTCTACTTTCAATGATAGATACCAACTTAGGGTAAAAAGATGAGAAAGGGTACTCAAGAAAATGGAACTAGAAAACAAGCAGGGTCAGCTGTTTTGTTATCTGACAAAATAAACTTCCAACAAAGACTAGTCAGAAGAAATAAAGGGTCGTTTCATACTCATGAAAGGAAAATTTACTAAGGGATTGTTAGAATTCTGACCATGTATACACCACATTTAGATACACCCAATTTCATAAAGGAAATACTCTTAGACCTAAAGCTACAGATTAATCAAAACAGTGATAGTGGATGACTTTACTGCCTCACTCTCACCAATAGAGAGTCAACCAGACAAAAACTAAGCAAAGAGACATTAAAATTAAGTGACATAAATAAAACAGACCCAACAGGCATCTACAGAATACATTAAAGAATACCTATTCTTCTCAGCAGGCCATAGAACTTTCTTCAACAGTAGGAGACAAAAAAGTCTCAATAAATATAAAAAATTGAAATAACATTCTATGTTGGGCAACAAGAGAATAAAGATGGATGTCAATGGGAATAAAAACTACAGAAACTCACAAAAATTAAACTACACATTAATGAATGATAATTGGGTCAATGAAGAAATTAAGAAGAAACTTAAAAATTCCTAGAAGTAAGTGAAAATGAAAACACAGTATGTCAAATCTATGGAACACAATAGAAGAAATTTTAAGAGGGTACCTTATAGTACAAAGTGCTTACATGAATTTTTTTGAGAGCTCTCAAATTAATAACTTAATGCTCCACCTAAAATCCATGGCGAAGTGAGAACAAATTACACACAAAATAGTAGAATGGAAAAGATAAACCAGAGTCAAAATTAATAAAATACAGCAAGTAAACAAACAACATACAAAGACGTAATGAACAGAAGAGCTGGTTCTTTGATGAGACTTCTAAGACTGACAAACCTATATCCAAATCAACAAAAAGAAAGAGAAAGAAGACCCAAATTAACAAAATCGTAGATGAAAAGGGAAACATAACAGACACTTAGGAAATTCAAAGGATCATAAAACCATATTTTAAAAACCTATATTCCACTCAATAACAAAGTCTACAGGAAATGGGGTGAATTTTTAGATGCATATCACCAACCAGAGTTGAATCAAGATGAAGCAAATAATTTAAAAAGACCTATAAAAACCAAGAACATAGGATCAATAGTAAAAACAAAAACAAAAACAAAAAAAAACCTCTCAACTAAAAAACAAAACAAAACAAACAAACAAACAACAACAACAAAAAACCAGGGCCAGGTAGATTCAGCACAGAATTCTTTCTACCAGACCTTCAGAGAATAAGTAATAACAATATAACAATATTCTCTAAGTTATTCTTATATAATAGAAAATAAAGGAACTCTTCCATTTTTTACTAATTTTCTATTATCCTGATACCAGAACCAGATAAAACACAATGAAAAAGTAAAATTATAGGTCAATGATGAACTTAAATGCAAAATTTCTTAGTAAAATAATTGTAAACTGAATTAAAGATCATATCCACCATGATCAATCTACCATGATCAAGTTAGCTTCATCCAAAAGATGAGTAGATGGTACAACATATGTAACAATAAATGTAATCCACCAGTAAATAAACTCAAGGCCAGAAATCATGAGGTCATCTCAGTATCTATAGAAAAGATCTTTGAAGAATTCAACATCTCTTTATGATAAAAGCCCTGGAGAAACTAGAGATTCACAAGCATATCTCAATATCATCAAGGCATTATACAAGATGCTCACAGTCCACACCATGCTAAATGGAGGTGAAGCCAAAGCATTACCACTAAAATCAGGAAGCAGACCAGGCTTCCTGATATCTCCATGTATATCCAATATACACTTGAACTCTTAGCTAAAACAATAAGACAAGTGAAGGAGATAAGGGGGATCTGGATGTATTGAGGTCCTTTATGTACCAGCCCTAAAGGCCTCTTTCAGAGTCCAAAAAAGACATTACAACAAGCAAGGGAAACCTAATGATCTGAGGGTGAAGAAATGAATCTGCTCATACCGTACTTTGTTGCATGTCTCTTTATCCTTCTCCAGCTACCACAAGGATTGCAGTTTATATACACTCACAATCAGCAATTCTTTGGCAATGATTTTTTTCAAGGTCATAAAAACAGATTAAGAGAGCTACACCAGGCAGTGACTGTCGGGCTTTCTTAATGACTCAAGGTGGGAGTGACTTGTAAAAGCCTCAGTGAACTCTTAAAGGGAACAGGGACAAATGAGAGGGAGAGAGACTTAAATCGATAGGAAAATCTAAGAAGGGAATTTGTGCTGTTTTACTACATTCCTAAGTGCAGCTAGAAAATAAGGTGATTAATAAACCGAGGTGAAAGTGAGTACAAAGAGTTAAGAATTTGTTAGTGTGAGGTTAGTTTGGGGAAGCACTTCCCTTATCTGCTGGCAAGGTGAAACCAGGGTATGTTTGTTTCCTATCTTCTCTAAGGCTGTGAATCAACAATTACAGACATGTTGTAATTCTTGTCCTTAGGCATCTGTAAATGTCTCAAGTAAGGTCCTTTTGCCTGTACACTAATACTGACCAACTGTTTCCCAATAAAAAATAATTGCAGGAAGGCAGACTTCAAAGTTTATATTGGGAAGGGGAACAAAGATCTGGATGTTAGAAACAAAGTTTTTTTGGCCATGTGACTTACTTTTACACATAGCTGGGGAAAGTCATCCAAATATGCCAATGCATAGGGGAAATTGTGCCCAATAAATGATCAATACACTGCTAAGCTGTGGGAATAAATTCCAAAATTGTAACAGATGGGAAGAGCTATGGCTTCACAAGAAATCTTAGAGCAAGAACAGCTGTCAATTTAGAAGGCAATAACTCCAAAATGCCTTGCATGATGGTTTCCTCCATCAGAATTCATGTTTCTGGTTAGTTGGCCTTCTAAATAACAGCTGAGCTCTCACTGCCTAATCTTGTGGCATGTAGCATGGATAGGGTAGGAATAAGTGCCCTTATTTGCAGATGATATGATTCCTATACATAAAAGACTCTAAAGATTCCAGTGAAAACACTTATAACTGATAAGTGTATTCAGCAAAGTTGTAGGATACAAAAAACGAACACACAAAATCAGTAGCCTTATATTCCAGTGATAAACACTGAGAAAGGAACTAGGGAAACAATCCCATTCTTAATAGCCTCAAAAATTATCTTGGACTAAATCTAAGGAAAGAACTGAAAGACTCAGACAATGAAATATTTAAAACAGGGAAGAAGTTGTAGAAGACACCTGAAGATGGAAATATATCATTTGCTCATAGAATAGTAAGATTAATATTATTTAAATGGCCATCCTACCAAAAAATCTATTATTCAATATAATCCTTATCAAAATTCCAATTCTTCATAGAAATCAAAAACATAATCTTAAAATTCATATTGAAATACAGAAGCTCCAGGAAAGCCAAAAAATCCTGACCAATAAAAACATCACTGGAGGTATCACAACTCCGATTTCAAATTATACCACAGAGCTATGGGTAGTGAATGCATCGTGGTACTGGCATCAAAACAGACACATTGACCGATAGAGTAGAACTGAAGACTCAAATATAAGATCACACTCCTAAAACCTTCTGATTTTTGACAAAGAGGCCAACAGTACACATTGGCAAAAAGACAGCATCTTCAGCAAACTGTGTTGGACAAACTGGATAACTCCATGTCCAGGAATGGCACCAGATCCTTAGTTTTTACTTCCAGAGGCATCAAGGATCTCAATAATACCTGATAGCTTGACTCTGTTAAAGGACAAAACAGTGAATATGTTCCAACTTATATGCACAGAACAGGACTTTCTGAACATTCCTCCGCTGGTATAGGCAGCAACACCAACACTTGACAA